TGTACATTTTACACCTCATTTGTAAAAGCTTAGTACCCAAATGAAAAGCTATACAATGGTCCACTGCTTGATCAATACAAATTTCAGGCAATAATGTAAAATTTTACTTCTGTAAAAGTTTAAAGCCTGATCTTTTATTTTCTAAAGTTCCTTTGCCTACAGACTTCATTTCAAACTCCATTTAAGATTTATTTTCTGTGCATAAGTTAGGTAACCCAATGGAAAGTTGTACTATGAAACTATTAGGCTGATAATTTATTTTAAACTTTCTTTTGCGTTATTTTACTTAGAAAATCAAGATGAGACAGTAAGTCATTTGACCTCCTTTATGGATCCAACAGTTAGAATATGGTGGATCCGTACACCTATTTGGCAAGAGCTTAAGAACTAAACTATTGTGCAGACGTCTGTCGTGTTACAAAAGGCTTCCACATCAAACATCTATGCATGTCCATAGAAATATAAGAGTTATGTGTTAAAATTGTATATCTACATTTGCGAAATAAATTCATTATAGTAGTGATAGGTATGCTATCTTTCCATAAAATTAGTTTTGATTTGCCACATCTTTGAAAAACGGCTCAAAATTAAACAGCTAGGCTGAAGACAGATGGAATATTTGGTTGACAAAGCTTTTATATTGATCAGCATGAATTGCTAGATTTAATAGCAATAGGTTATGGATGTACAGAATTATCATAATGATTCAAGAGGAGCTTTCGAGAATTTTCAATGATGCGCATGAACTTCGTTATTGTTGGCCAAAATTATCAAGACAATTCAGGCATAGTTTTGAGAATTTTCAATGATGCACGTTGTACTGACTACTAAAAAATTCTGGCAGATTCCACTGGATATAACGCTGAAATACTGTATCAGTCAGGGCCGTCATGAGAGATACTGATTATTCAAATACCACTGAAATTGCAATCATATTCTTTTTTCGGTGAATTCTTCTATACTGGACATCAATAAAAGTACTTATTCCAAAGTATGGAAAAAGCATTTAACAATTTCTTAAGTTAGGATTTAAAGATTTGAATAATCTCAGTATGTTGGTTCTTATGTCAACTGTGTGGAGAAACAAAATTATTTTTTAAGCAAAGCCTAAACAAGTTAATAGCTTATTTTTAAACAAATATTCTTTTTCAAATAACGGTTTTTCTGCAATGATTGTTGACGTGCATCATTTAATTTACCCTTTCTAAAAGATTACTCATAAAGTTTTTTTTTTTTTAATAATTCAATTTATTTTTAAATAATGATTTGTAATTTACTCAAAGTTACCCGGTACAAGAGTTACAAATTTTTAGCTTCTTAGGAATTAACATTTCTGAACACAAGGTTAGGTTAGATTACGTTATTTAATTACGGCAAAGCCTCGAGGGCTATCTGCCTAAGGGGAGGGATGCCTTCATAGAGGACTTTCTAAGGGAAACTGGCTCGAATACACATTACACATGGGGAAAACCACGAAAATACCCATGCAGCCAGCCCGTTCGCGGGATTCGAACCTCAGACCGAACTACCAGTGTTCAGCGACTTTATCGCTTGGGCGCTTGTAGGCCCTTTCTGAACACGAAACAGTATATATGTATTTATTCATATTTATATGTAAGTATGTTAATAACATATTCATTAATTTACTTTTAATGAATATGTGATGGAAATTTCTTTATATTGAAAACCTGTCTCATTATTTTTGAAATGATATAAATTTGGACTTGCGGCTCTCGAACGTTCATAAAATCTATCATGTAGCTCTCCTCATCTTGAATTTTGGCCATCCCTGATATATACATTCATATATATATATATATATATGTCATGGTCACTTTTAAGTACAAAGACTTGTATCTTGAAATGTGTCCAAACAATTAAGGTAACATATATATTGGAAGAAAAGCAATCAAGGTACAAAGCAGGAGGATGTTTTTGGAATTATAATCAAGAAAATTCCATTTACTCATTGTTAGTTTGGGAAATTTAGAGTTTTGGAGCCAAACTCTTATTTACTATGTTTAAATTCAAACTCTTATTTACTATGTTTAAATTCATAGATTTTTAAGTTTTGTTTTATTCTTATTTTATTTTTAGTAAGCTTACTTAGTTAAATAAAGTGCACGAAGATAATTATTTGGAATTTAGTAAAATTTCTCATGCTAGCCCACATAATGAAATCTGAAAAATACCATACCTGAGAATAAATTATAAGAGAAAGTGCACAATTCTCTTAAATTTCAACATACAAATTTACAGAATTTCAAAAATGTGAAGAAACATTGGAAAGTTAAGAAGGGATACATTATACAATCTGTTAAGGAACAATGAGAATCTGTAGAACAATTAGATGCTAAAAAAGTAGCTAATAAAAAGAACCGCAACTTATATTATTTATGGCAGAGGGCAAATTAAACATGAAAAATTTTTTAAAAAAAAACAGTTAGTTGAAAAAGATTTTTGAATAACCTTCACAAAATGCATTGCCAAAAGACCAACAATGATAAGACACAGAACATTAGTAAATTCCTTACTATTAAATTTATTGGTACTTTTCATTTCACCGGCACCAGCGATAAAGTTGCCAAAAATGGTACAACTAAAGACAAATGCAATATCCCTGCTGGTAACCTTTTATGACACATTTCAAAACAAAATGCACCCATTTTTTATCAGATTGATCGTTGATCAGTTCTTTCAATACCTTCAATACAATAACATAGAATTTTTAACAAATAACTCAATTTTATGCCCTAAGGCCATTCATGGTAATAAAGTCAATTAGGGTGCAATCACACCACTCACCCGAAGGTGAAAATATGGAAAAGGCAAAAGGTTAAATTCATTAATTCTAATGATAATGCACTAGTGAAGTAAAGCACTATGGTTTTACATAATTCTTGCATTTAAACTTATATTCCATATTAAGATTTAACTTAAAATTAATGTAGATAATTACTGAGAGAGTTAGATTTTTGTAGTGTAGTTTACGTGAGATGAGATAACTTGGGGTCATGTGATATGAACTGGGGAATCAGGATGTTGTACCATGAAAGCATAGTAAATTCTTAAATTAACGTCTCTTTCCTAATATGTCAAAATTGAATGAAAAACCAATGAAAATTTGGGATTTGCCCAGAACAGAGGAAGAAGCAGTCAGATTCTTTCAAGTGAAAGGCATTTTGACCAAAATTGCTATTTGTGATAATAACCATGAAATGAAAGTGTATTTCGGAGACGAAATTCAATGGCGCTGCAACCTTTCAACTTGTCGCATTAAAAGAAGTATACGGAAAGGCACATGATTCGAGTCATCGAAATTGAGTTTCTTGAAGTGTGTGAGGTTTATTTATGGTTGGAGTGAAGAATCAACTTCAGTTAAATAGTGTGAAAAGCAGTTGAAAATCAGTCTCAGAATTCTGGACTGGAATAACTACATCCACAAGGTTTGTGTGAATTCTTTGCTTAAACGTCAGCAGCCGAAAATAGGAGGAACCTGGTGTGATCGTAGAAGTGAATGAAAGTATGTTCACAAAGTGCAAAAATAATGTCGGACAGATTCTAACACAACAGTGGATTTTTGGAGTTAGCCGTAAACAAAGGAGCGCTTCCTTGTGAAGGTGCCAAACCGATCGTGAATATTATATTAAAAGCAAATAAGGAAAATACTGGAAAAGGAACTACAACATATTCTGATTCATGGAAATCATACTGCAGTGAAAAGCTGGAAGGGGAAAGTTTCGAACATTTCAAAGTGAACCATAAATACAATTTTATCGATCTGGAAACTGGAACACGCGCACAAAAAATAGAAAAGTGTGGGGTAGCACCACATGGCGAAATAAGAAACACAGAGGAACGCCATGCCATCATCTGGAAAGTTATCCTGCGGAATTTATGTAGAGAAGGGAAACAAAAGACCCATTTGAAAAAATTTTAAACGCTACTAAAATGTTTATGCCTCCAAAGTAAAATTTCTTAGAACTAACATTTGTTAAAATTTTTTATGTGCATACTGCGTGTTATCGCCAATAAAGTCTGTTTGGCGAGATTTGCGCTGGAGAAATGGAAAAGTACCAATTTATTTTAGATTCTGTGATATAAAATTTTAAGATCCTGCAAGCTATATTAGTTAATAATAAAAATTCATCTAACATATCATAATAAATTCCCAACTCAAATCTAAATTTCTTGAACATTAAAACAAATGATGTTAGTATGTTTTTTTTTTTTTTTTTTTTTTTGGTAATGAAGTACATGGAAAACAAATACTGATCATAAACTGATTAGATTCTAACTCACTTGTGACAACCCTTAATACCTCTTCAGAATTTCTCATCAAGCATTTTTATTTATTCTATAAAAATCTTAGTTTCCCATATGTATTTCAGACTAACTTGAAAATATCAGACTGGAACTTTTAATTTTTTACTCGCATATTCTTCTGGAGAATTCTACTTCCAATATTAAATAAAATCTTACTCATGAAAGAAAACTACTTCTTTGGAATTTCATTTACAAAAACTCAGTTTTAAATACAATCTACATTATGAAAACTGTTTGTCTAGTAAAGAAAATTTTTTAGCAAGGTGATGATGAAGTACCTAAAACATTTTCAATACAAAAATGTTTAGTCTGAGTTGATGATATTCCTGATAAACCATATATTAGCTTAATTTAAAGCTTGTACTTCTTCATATGCTTATGCATTATATTTCAATGAATAATTTATGAAAATTAAATTCAAATATGACATACAGGGTTAAAATTATAGTCAAATATTACAAATAAAGCTAAGATAAAGCTGCATGCAAAACAAATTTAAGGCAAATGTTTTGATATTTACTTAACCTAGCTAAATTAATTACTTAAATGATAACTAAAAAATAATTTAAAATAATATTATAAAAACAAATCTCATATGACTAATAAAATCTTTCTAAAATAATTTTAGGACTTGTATTCCTACAATAAGTTTTAGCTAAAATACTGTTAATTACTTCTGAACAGTTGCCACAGGAGGAGTATCTATTGACAAATCATTCATATCATCTACATCAGGTGCTGAAGATATTGAAAGATCAGTCAAATCAGAACCAAATCCATCAGTCCAACCACTTTCTAAAAGTATACAAACAATGCATTATATATTTGCTTTAAATCTATGCTTAACTATATTAATTTTACTTGCAAAATACATTAATGACATAGTTCAATATTTATGTTTGAAGACAAATATCGAAGAAAAACCAGCTTCATAAGAAAGTTACTCACGGTAAATAATAATTTAAAGCACAAAACGAAACAATTTGATTACTGCCTTATAAATTGCTTCTTTATTTTTCTAAGCTACTGCTTTCTAATAAAAAAAAAGGGGGAGACAAAGGAAACAGAAAGCAAAAAAAAATTAATAATTATCATTTTAATTAAGAAAAATCCCTTGAAGTCAAAATCATAACTCAAATTTCAGAGTTCAATATTTTGTAAAATATTAATAATAGCAAGAATAAAAAATTTCATAAAATATCTTTCTTGCTACTAAAAAAATATGATGCTTACACCACATGACTTCCTTGTACGGAAAATTAAATTATACGCATTTTTTCTTGCATTTCATTTAAACTTATTGGATTGAATTAAATCTACTTTGCCGATAGCGCATAAACCACAATAGAAAAAATGCATTCTTTCAAATTCACTCTAGTATTTGTTTACCATAGCGACACTCTGGCGCTATATTCACTTAAACAGTATTATATTTCGTTCATATTATAACTCATAATGCACAAAGTAGCACATTTAAATAATAGAATTATCTAATCATTGCCACATATTCTATTCAAATACTATAATAAAGCTAGAATGATGTATAAAAGAAATTAAGCAAACAAAACAAAAAAAGAAACAGTTTTCACAGACGATTGAGTATTTCTCATTCAATTAATTCAGTTCTCACTTCGCAACAAGGCAAAAATACACAAAAACTCAAAATATCTATATTAAAAATTACGAAGTAAATCTTAAACACTTATTTCCTTGAAAAAATTCCAGGATTAAGCATGATTTAACTGGTAATAATAAATGAAGGCGTTACCTTTGTTGTTGCGAAGCTAAGTTTCTCTATATTGGCAACAAATCCACTAGTCTGTTGTTTCAAATGTAAACAATCAATGGCCGCCATCAAAAAAAGGTTTAGCGGCACTTAAACAATTTAAAATTGTTGATAATTCTAAAAATATTGCATACACATTTTCTTTCATACACATTTTCTAAAAACACATTTTCTTTCATACAGATATACTAAAGGTATAAAAACCTTAACCGGAAGGTAAAAACAACATAATTCAATCATTTTTAAAGCAAAAAATGTACAATTTACAAACATATAAGAGTAAAGAAACTGAGATCACTGAGCCGGGTAACAGAGTGGATATATATATAAATATATTTATATTCGTTTGGTGCGGTCGATTGCAACCAAAATACGAGGTGCACATCTACATGTTATAGCAGTCCTATATACAAAATTTCAATGTTCTGAGGCTACTCGTTTTTGAGTTATGCGAGATACGTACGTACGTACATAGGTTCGTACAGACGCCAAGAAAAATTCTCTTCAGAATTAATTTTAAAGCAGTTTTATAATTTTTTTTGAGGAAACGAGTCTTTTATTCTGTCCTTACGTACAGATATCACGCAAAAACATCATTAAATTGTATTCGATAGCGGTCAAAATGGATATTTTCTTTGAAATATGCTGCCTGAAACTTTTCGCGATTACAATACTTCCTTTTTACTTCGTACAAGGAAGTAAAAAAGGGCTAAAAGAATATTCAATAAGCAGAATTATTATTCAAAATCTTTTAAGTTTCATTTCTAATTAATGTTTTGATTCTCAAATTATTTTACAAAAAAAAAAAAAAAAAAAAAAAAAAAAAAAAAAACAAACAATAAGCAAATTTAAAAAATACTGAATCTTTTGCGGCAAAATTTATAAAATGGATCAAATAATCATACTTTTATAGGTTTAAAAATCAATAATTATAATAAGAAAAAATTATAAGAAACAAAATATCAACATAAAACAAGATAAAAAGAAAGAGTTTCAATTCAATAATAAAAGTACAAAAGACATCAATTGGTTATAATCAAATCTTCCTTTTTACTTCCTTATATGAAGTAAAGGAAATATTGTAATTGTGAAAATTTTTTATATCATATTTCAACGAAAATATCCATTTTGACTGCTAATGAATACAATTTAGCTATTGAATACAATTTAAGGATGTTTTTGTGCGACATCTGTACATAAGAACAGAATAAAGGATTCTTTTTTACCTAAACAGGTTGCAAAAAGGGTTTCAAATGGATTCAGAAGAGATTTTTTTAGTGGCGTTTTTATGTATCTACATATCTTGCACAATTAAAAAATGAGTAGAATCAGAACATTGAAATTTTGTATATAGGACTGCTATAATATGTAATTGGGCAATTTGGGCAATTCCCTTTTTGGTTGCAATCACCCACACAAAAAGTATATAACTATATATAATATATATATACCCACTCTGTTACTCTGCTCCGTGAGCTCAGTTTTTTTTTTATTCTTATATGTTGGTAAATTTTTTTGCTTTAAAAATGATTTAATTATGTTGTCCTTAATTAAAGTTTTTATGCCTTTAGTTAATCTGCATGCAATAGTTGTAGAATTATCAACAATTTTATAGTTGTCTAATTTTTTTTACCATAGATGCCACATTTGTTTATATTTGAAACTTAGCAGAATAATGAATTAAGTCAGCTTCTACACCTTCAGTGTCTTTTCGCCTACTGGGGCCAAAAGTAAACTTTCAGTTTTGCGCACTGAAAAATCTGCCCTCTTGCTCACTGGCCAAATTGCTTGTTTTTGCATAGACATTCTAATTTTAGTTGTAAAAAGTGTTTTTTTTTTAAATTGTTTTAACTGTATTTAGTGTTTCATATTTTTCAATTTTTGATAAAGATATTTTGAGGTTTTATGTATTTTTTGCCTTGCCGCAATTTAGAACCGAATTAATTGAATGAGAACTATATCTCTAATGAAATTCGAGGAAATGTATAAATGAAATGCAGCAAAAAAAAATGTATAATTTAATATTCCGTACAAAGAAGTCGTGGTGTACATATCAGATATTTTTGGGGGGGGGGATAATGCAAAGCAATTAAATAATGCTATCACTGAAACAAGGAGGGGGGTGGAATAAACACCATTGTAAGTTTGTTTGTTTTTTTTTTTCTTTTCATGTTCACAGTAAACATGTAAGATATGAAACCATTAAATTGAATTAGAAAAGCATTAACATTTATATTAGTCACCTCAGTTTTATTCAAGTACATTTTAGTTCATATCAGTTAGCAGTAATAATACTACATTACTGGATTCAGATTTCATAATACTGAATTTCTCAGTTCATATACTATTAAAGAAATATTTTAGATATTCTGATGTATAATGTAAAATACACATATTTAAATTACACAGTACATAAATTTTATGCATACCTTATAATTAAAAACAGAATAGTGAAACAGAATCTCCAGATTTTATCCTCAATTTGCACTGGTGAAAACATGATAATTACAGTCAAAAAACGTTAATCCGGACCTCAAAGCTACAAACTTTCTGCGCATGAGTCAATGCATAACGTGTCACGCACGCGCATAATACGTTTACGCATGCACGTTTAATGTATAACAGATGGTATAAGCTAAGTTAAAATAGGAATTTGATTTAAATCATATCAAAGACGGAGTACGTTGAGATGAAATACTACATTTAGTAAGGAATTATAAGCCAAATATAATAAAAGCATTTGCCCTGAAGATAAGGTGCTGACACATCAACTTCCAATTCATTGCGCGCCGTGGCGTCCCCCCCCCCCGCAGAGCAGCGTGAAATTGATAAACAGATTTCGGAATGGTTAGAGAAACAAGGGATATGCCTTTATCCATTTTTTTGCAGCAATTCCACTTTTTGTTTGATGGACATCGAAACATACTTTCGCTTTGTAGATCCTTTGGGAGCTCCAGCATCGGAAATTCTATTTTGACATAATCGAAAGTTCAGTTTACTTTTATAAAATTGCTCTAACAAGTCGCAAAAAATAATAAGCAGGATCCAATTCGAAGATTAAGGAACAACGTAATCTGCAAACACTTAACTGAAATAGATATTTGGACAATTTTAGCTTATAACGTCCGTTATACATTAAAACCGCATGCGTAAACGTATTATGCGCATGCGCACACGCATATGCGCAGCCGTAAAGGTCTTACGCGCATGCATAAATGCCTATGCATGCACAGAAAGTTTGTAGCTTTGAGGTCCGGATTATGGGTGTCCGAATTAACGACTTTTGACTGTATTTCATTATTAATAAGATCAGGAAACATTTCATATATTTTTTAAATTTTGGGGAAAAAATTAATGAAAAAAATTTCATAATGAGAAAATGGTTGTAAACATACTCTGAGATGGTTTAATATCTTGGCAGGAATTAGGTGATGTTAGAGGTGAATGTGAATGAGCATCCTAAAAGATAAAAAAGTTTATAATTAGTATCACATTATTGATAAACATGCTAAGTAAAGCTACAAAAGTCGAATACTACAATAAAAAATGTATTAGGTTCAATGCTCCATCAATAACGTAAAGATTTACTCTAAAATACTATCAGGTAGAAATAATATACTGAAACAAAAATTTCTATTTGGAATAAAATTGACTAATAATAAAAAATTACATTTTACTGGCCATGAAACTTGCCATCTAGTGCAGTTGTACCACTTTTTTCTTATATTTAAAAAAGAAGGAAAAAAATCATTAAAATTTGAGACTGCCTTCTACAGAACTGCAAGCAGTGGATTATTTTCAATTATGGGATCCTACCATAAAAAAAAGTGAGTATCAATGGACACAATATGGTATTTATTTCAAAAAGTATAAACAATGGCAATGTAACATTTGTAATTGCACTAAGGTTCATTTACTGCAAGTCACAATAATTAGCATCTCTTACATGGAGAAAAAAAACAGCTGGATACTGCAAACAAAACAGTAACTGATGGAAACAATTACCTGCAGGAAGTTTGTACTCATAGTGTTCTAAAGAGTACTTCCAATAAAATTGGTGTGCCTATCAAAATGATAGAAACTGATGAAACCCTTTTTATGAAGGGCAAAAGTGAAATACGTTGAATACTAATTATTTGTTAAATAAAGAGGCATAATTTATTTCAGAATTCGGCAGGAATAATTGGCTGAACTTTGGTGAAATTTCCACCAACTTTTGTGGTCAATAGCATAATGCATAAGTACCAAAATAAATATTAAAATCCTTTGAAATGCAAAATCTTACAATAATACTGAATACAGACTTAAGTTAAATATTTTGCTTCAGTTCAGAATAATATATTAACACTATATTTCATATCTTTTTAGAAAACATATCTTACATGAAGTTCACTTCGCAAGCACTTCATTGAATCAGTTATATGATTAGGAGGAGTTAAGCCACTGAAGTCTGGTGGACTGGTGAGGGATTTTATTGAAGATTCTTCAGAACTCATACTGTACAGAGATCCGGACTTTAAATGAGGAATGCTGTGCCTACAAAATATTAAGATGATCCATTAATGTAAATAAATGAAAAATTACAAACTACTAATATAGTTTCAACTATTACTATCAGATAGATACAAAATTCAATATTTGGGAAAGAAATTAACAAAATACAAATTTTTTTAAAGCAAAACGTTTTGAAATGGATAAAATAGGTACCCAATTGATTTCATGCTTTTCACTGATAGCTCAATTACTAATTAAATTATTGATTAGCAATACCTTGTTAAAGTGGTCATAGCACTTAGACTGCCAATTTGTAATATGCAAATTTCAAATGTCATCAAAGGCTTAAACAGTGGCTGCTTTAACAAAGAAGTACCATTTATCTAATTTAAAAAATCAGAACTTGCGTATTATTCTGGCGACCATAAAACTGTCACCCATCAGCACGATTTAATATCAGTAGTGGATAAGCATGACATAATAGCATACTCATTAATCTGAGCTTACGCTTGATGTAACCCCAGTTGATTGTTGATACGCCACATTTTGTTTTCATAGACAGAGATATCAATTAACTGTTACTGCTCTGTTTTTCTTGGATTTTGGGGAAAAAAATATTCAAATTTGGGACCTGCTTTCTACAGAACAGCAAACAATGAGCTCTTTTCAAAATTATGGGATCCTTCTGCCAAAAAATGTATATTTATGGACATGATGTGGTCAGCTGAATATGGCCAATAAAACAATGAACCACCTGCTGAAAGTATGTACTCACAGTATTCTAAATGAAATTTCCAGCGAAATCAGAAGGCTTAGAAAAATCGTACAAATCAACAAAAGCCTTTTTAAAAAATGCCAAAATGAAATGGGTCAAATATTGATTGTTTATTAAATAAAGAGGCTTCAGAAATGACTCATTGTTTCAGAAAATGTTTCACAGACATGAATGGCATAACTTTGGCAAGCTGTTAGCAAACTTTCATGATCAACTGGATAACATAAAAGTACCAAAAAATCTAGTTAGGTTACAAAATCTTTCATTATATTTTGAAACAAACTTAGATGAGAAAATTTCAGGGAAATTATATTAATTTATGGATTAATACATCATACTTTTAAAGCCTCAGATGATAAGATTCTGGCAGCATAATTTGAAGGCTTGCGTCTTTCTTTCCTCAGTGCCATTCCTTTTATCTATCTGTGGTGTCAAGAATTGATGTCAATTGAATTTTGCCAACTTCAGTTAGAAATCAGCTATTATATGACTGTACATTGGAATAACTACTTGAGGAATGTGCAAATAGTTTGATGTCTCGTAAAAGAAATAAAATCGGTGGAGCCAACAAAATCATAATAACAGATGAAAGTCTTTTCACATAAAGAAAAAACAACATTGGATATGTTCTTCCAGAACAATGAGTAATTGGAGGTTTATGACAGGAAAGCAAAGAATGTTTTCTGGTCGTCATTCCCAATCGTTATGCTACAACATTGATGACTGCCATCCAGGAACACATCGCGGATGGAAGCATAATATTTGCAGACTGCTAGAAAGGATATAAGAAAGAGGAAATATTAAATGTTGAACTTTTCACTGTGAATCACAGTTCTAATTTTGTAGACCCTGAAACCAGATGCCGTACTCAAACTATGGAGCAATTGTGGGGCAGTGCTAAATGGAGAAATAAATTTCAGCGGAGCACTGCTTGCCACCATTTAGACTCATATTTGATAGAATTTATATGGTATGGGTTATATTCAAAAACTGGAATTTTTTTTATAATATTGAATCATATTTGTAATTTTATGCCACCTGTTTAAATTAATTTTTTTTGTTTTGTTATTTTATATTTATATGTAGAATACGCTTAAAAATTAAAAAGAATTTTAAAATTAAAAAGAAAAATTTACGTTCTTTAGGAATTATGAAATTTAAAAAAGTCCTTTTTAGTCTTTGAACTATATTATTATTTCATAATTTTATACTTGGCAACAATTGCAGGCAAAAAAAAAAAAAAAAAAAAAAAAGTCATTTTTAACTGACATCGCTCTAATAGTATAGTACCAAAAAAAATAACTTAGACCAAGTAAGATTACTTTTTGCGTTTAAAAAAAAGGACTTCTTCAAGCAGTAAAAATTCATTTGGCGACACAAACGATCATCTATTGAATCACAATAAAAATGACATAGATATTTTAATATCCCTGGTAGCACAGACCATGATATGTGAATGTTTAAATACAAAAAAAAAAAAAAAAAAAAAAAAAAAAAAAAAAATTCTCTTTCATGTAAAATAAGTCAACAAAGTACCAAAAATAAATTACAAACAACATATCACTATTTTTTACAATGTGTACAAATAAATATCAACTCAGTTTTGCAAGAAGTATTATTAAATCACACCAATTTGAACAACATTGAAATAAATGACAATTTCTTTTAAAAAAAAAATTTTAAAAAAAAAGGAAAAGAAAAAGAAAAGAGAGAAGAACAAAGTTACAATATGTTTTTTACAACAATGAAAATAATAAAACTAGATAAAAAGCACAAAGGGAAAAAAACTGCACACGTATTTAAACAAATAAAAATATAGAACTATATTTAAATGCGCATTCTAAATTTTAAATTTATTGCAGATTAAAAAGTTTGATTTCCACTTAAGCTCTCTATTCTATATAAATAAATATTATTCAGTTCATTACAACACCATTTAAATAATGCTAAGGAGGAAAAAAAAACCATAAAGCAAAGATATGAATAATTCAAACTCTTTGAATGCTCCAGACAATAAAGTTTCATTAATTTTTTTTTAAACTTTTGCAGTGTATTTGGAGGTTTACACAGTTCTTGACAAAGCTCCTAAACAATCCCCACATGATGTGAAATACAGAGTTCCTGAACATCCTTATCTCTACGGTCTTATTTAATCAATTCCTTAACCAAAACTCAAATATCACTCAAAAATCACTCAAATATATCGACAAATTTATTATAAACTATGAAAAGCCTTCCTTTGCATATAGAGAACATTTCGGCATAATGTTGAGAAGTGTTATTAAATTTACATTATCACCAACTAACCATAAACTAATTTTTTTAGAATGCATTGCTATTGATTTATGTTGCAGTATAGACGGCTTGGAAAAATATTAGCAACAAAATACTCTACTTAATTAACGGAAGCACACTATATCATGTAATATAAAAAAAAAGACCTTGGTTTACATAAAAACTGGCGCATATTTTCATAATATAGGGAATAAATTCTATAATGAGGAAACCTGTTCTTACCTGGCTTTAGAAGAAATCATTTCAGCCTTTTCATTGCCAAAGAGTATTTTTGTTCTTTCAACATAGTCAACATGAGTTCGAAAGACCTTAATATACGATGAAAATTTAATTTTTGATGAATATTAACAAATACTTACATGTAAATTTTAAAAGGGACTCAATATATGGAAAAGAAACATCTATTCCCGTCTTTTTCAAAATAGTTTTCAATAAAAACACATATTTCAAAAAACCATATAAAAATATAATGAAGGAAAAAATTAGCATAAATTAAAAAATAAAAATAATGTTAATTATTTAAATAAAGTTCTGAAAAAATATTCACTTTTTAATGAATATGCCAAAAAATGCCAAGAAATAGGATATTTATTACTTCAAAAAACTTTAAAAGATGTCATATATATAGATAGATATAGCATAACAGTAAAATTTAAATGCACCATTTTATCTTCACACTATTCTTTAGTAACATAAAGTAACTAAAAATAAATAATAACATACAGGCAATTATTCACATATAAAGATTTTTAATAAAATGGTGTATTTTATATGTAAATCCCCCACTGCATTTGCAGACTCACTTTAATATTTACAAGCAGGATAGTTTTTAAGAATAAGTACTTACATTATCCAGGTTATTTTAGTGCTTTCTAAGCAGGTATGCCTCTCATAACACTGAACAAGAATAATACAAATTAAAAAGGTATGTGTAAAAAAACTTGGATGTGAAACTAAAGCAACCTAAAGTAAAACCTAATTACAAACTAAAGTAAAACCAAACCAAAACTTAAAGTAAAAATAACCTGGAAGTTGGGGGAAAATAATCAATGATGTCATTATACTAAATTTTTCATATGTCTGTAATCAACAAAATTGCACAAGATAAAAACAAATTTAATTTTGAAACTGAATTCCAAATATTTAGCCACAGTTTGCAATTATCACATATCTGCTCAGTGTCACTAACGTTCTTATATAGAAAAATAACTATCAACAATTGAATTAGTTCTGTTTCCGCAAATCCTCTTTCCGTGTTTTTCAAATTTCTTCCCATTCCCGCAAAATTGGAGAGTACACTCCCCTCTACCACAGCTCCTCAGATGTCATGATAAGTAATCCTTTGTGAATAAGTTAGTCTTCATCTTGACATTGTGGTTTAGTTTAGGCTCCTCTTGACATCTTTAGTTTCATTCTGTTTGTAATTCTATTACAATATTAGGTGTTATTTTCGCATCTTACCTTAATCAATATCTTAATCAATTTTTTAAAATATCCACCCTCACAATATACCAAAGTCACTTGATAGTTGCCTTAAAGAAGTTGACTCTAATTGAATTCAATTACAATTATTAAAACAGTGTTTTTAGAAGTTGACTCTAATTGAATTCAGTTACAATTCTTGAACCAGTGTTTTTAGAAGTTGACTCTAATTGAATTCAGTTACAATTGTTGAACCAGTGTTTTTAATATTGCGACCATACGAATAAATTTAATTTAACTGCGAGCCGAGTTTAGAGTTGGAATTACAAATGAGTCACAAAGTAGAGTTTCTCTTAAAAAAGAAACTAGATGAATAGGGGACTTAAAAAAAGAGCATTGTAAAATGAAATAATATTAAATAAGTTAATGATAATTAGCAATTTCATTATATACATGTATACATATATACATATATACATGTATATATAATATTGAATTATTTAAAATATACTCTATAACTGCTTATATTTACTGTCAATAATTACTTACAAGTATATGTACATAAATAATTATTTTAAATTATTATGATATATATACAATCACTGCTTTATTGTGTGCAATATTTCTGGAACTTTTGAATTAAATCTTTGAAACTAACAAATTTATCTTTGACAATTGATAAATTTATCAATGATTTCTATTAATGTATTTGGATATTCCGATGAATGCAAGAAAAGCAACTCCATTCAATCGAGGTTCAGATGTTATCAAGGTTTGTCACAAGCTGCGACATTAATCAAGGTGCATTTTCTTTTAATCCACCTTTCTTTTCATAACGATATTTATTCTGAAAGATTTTATTATAACTCAGCTTTATGTAGAATTTTGGAAGACTATTATTTTTACTTTAAGAAATTTAATTTATAGTTCATTTACAAAATCATCGCAGAGTTTGAATATCTCTCTTTCCCCTTTTAACTACAATATTAGCTTAATTCATGCAAAGATCTGAGAACGTAAATATTTTTTATTATTTCTTTTAAAGATTCTTTTTTTAAATCTAAAAATTTTTTGCTTTCCTACATTTCAAAAGAAGATGAAGCCCAGTCGGCCCCCACTATGTAACCCCTTTAGGAAAGGGGATAATGAAGATTAGTGATTTCGCGGAAACAGGAAAGTTTTTGACAACTGCAGAAACAGGAAGACACCCAACAATCTTAATCTGTAAAAGGGGGGCCAAAAAATTCCCCAGCATTTATTTTTAATTTGGTACATTTTTTAATACAATAATTTAATATAACTTAAAAAATAATATAAAAAAACATGATTTCAGATTTAAAAAACTTAATTGGAAAATGAAACAAATCATTAATTCCTTATCAGTTTCAACTTGTATAAATTATTATATTCTATTCCATTTAAAGCCACACATATAAATATAAAAAAATTCATACTTACTTCAGTGTAACGCTCATGAAGTTTGGCATATTCTTTTTTCATTTCAGCTTCTTTTTCTTCTAACCTTGATGCTTTAAAAACATAAATAAATTTTTACTAATACCAAATAAAAATTATTTAAAATTAATAAAATATAAATAAAATCAGACATTTGTACACAAAAATTTTTACTACCAAACCTTGTCAAAATTCACTAAAAACTTTAATTTTCCTAAATTATGTTTCTTTACAATAAAAAAAATACCTTGTCTTGGATTAATAATTAAATAATCTTCTACTGCATTAGCCTCACTTGATTAAATCTTAAGATTCAAAGCATGATAAAACTATTTTATATGGAAAAGCATTTGACGTCTTTCTGGCTAGATCTCTTTGTGCAGGATTTTCTAAAGGAAACTGGAACATTTTTATATTACATATAGAAAGAATATCTGAAAGCCAAGGCAGTGCATAAAATCAACTGCCAAGAAATGAACCTTGATAAACTGATCTACAGGTTTATTCACTTCATCAATTTTAGGTATAAAAGTTTTATAAAAATTTGAGTTATTTTTAATATTATAGAAATACATACAGAAAATATTACACAGTTTGAGTGGAATAGGGTGCACATATTATTTTATAAGGGGAATATTAAAAAACTATCTTAGGAGAGATGCTTCACGTAGGACTTTCTATAGGCAGCTAGATCATAATCATATAGCAGCTCAAAAAACATTACACCCCACACATAGCCAAGTAGTTTGATCACCAAATGAACTGAATCTTAATGGAATAACACTGATAAAGAAGCTTACTCATTATATCAGTAGGTGGGAAAAAATTTTCATAAAATGTAATACTAGTACAAAAGTTACACATATTATATTTAGAAAATGATTATGAATACTCCTGAAATTTCAATAAGACTAAACAAAGACTTCACTCTATTTCTCTTTCAAGTTCAGGACTCACATGATTGTATTTCTTGAACTTTGTTATTTCACAAACTGAATCTTAATGAAACTTAAATCTCAAGAGATTGTTTAATGCAGCCGTTTTGTTGTTTTATCTGTATTTTTTGTAGATAAAATTAAAAATATTTTTAATTTCAGCAATTCTTAATAAATTGGCTGGTAAGAAACATGTTCTAGATTTTAAAGCTCACAACAATGAAAGCTATAAACATGTTGCATTGACAGTAATGCAAAAAGCAGAAAATTTCAAAAGATGGATGAGGGTTGTTAATCCTGGGTTTATAGTAGAATCGTTCCGAATTGCTCTACAGACTATATATAATATATGAAGAAATAAAGAACAGCTGTTGAAATTTTACAGCAACAGTGATTCAGTTAGTCTATATTTTAGGGTGCCCCTTGGATTACCTCGAAGTTGTTGTTTTATTTATGGCAACCTGAGTACTTGAATGTTATAGAAACCCTATTTTGATGTGATTGGTTGCGTGACTGTAGTGAATCTGACTGACAGGAAAGTATTTGTAAGGGCTTATTTATGTGTTGGAGGTTAGTTAGAAAGTACGTTGCTTATTTTGTGCTTTACACCGTAAAATGGCTGCATGTGATAAGATTAAACTGAAGTTTCTGTACGGTTTGAAATGAAAGGGAAAAAAAAGCATTAATTGACTGGTATGTAAATGAAGGTTTACTTAGTAGTTATTATAAATGTTCTGTTTGTAAGAAGGAAATTCTTATGGTCGAATGTAAAGATTGTTCAGATGGGTTTGAAGGAGTTTGTTCGACAAGACGGAGTACGACAGTCAGGCACTACGAAGGATATTTTTCACTCTTATTTTTGTAAATTTATGTGGCAAAAGCAATATACAGATTGTAGTTCAGATAATTTTAGAAAGTTTTTGGATGCTGTTTAGGAATTTTGTGTGCCACAAACTGAAGACACAGATATTTCCTTTTTGTAGTGTGTAGATGAGATAACATGTATTTAATTTTTTATGTTATTTCATTATTTGACTTAAAATGTAGTTTATTGAATTGTTGTTTTAATTATGTTTTGGACACAATTTTACTGGAGAGGGCATTGAACATAAGCAGAAATGGCGTCAAAAAATCGCTATCCTGAAATATATTTTTACCAGTGTTTCTAATGCCAAAAATCTTTGCACAAGGCAAAATCAGGAAATGACCCATCAATGGGTCACGCTTGTATATCAAAAAATGCTAAAATACGCTTTTATATAAAAAATTAATATCTAATTTTATAATATAATAATTAAATTTTATAATTTTAATTTTTTATTTTTTAATTTTACAATTTTAATTTTATGATTTGGAGCTGCACCACACCATGACACGGACTGCTAATTCAAGCACCTCCGCCCGAAAAGAACAATGAATATCCGTGCCACCATCAGCGTGTTAAAGAAACTAGAAGGCACTGTAACAGTGTGAAGTTACCATCAAATTGCAAGATTTTACTATTGCTAGACAATAGCTCTGCACATCCAGATGCAATCATTTTAATGTCTGTTATATCACGGCAATTTTTTTGCCCCCAAATACTATATCAAATATTCAACCGATGGACAAGGGCGTAATACACACTTTTAAATGAAATTGCAATTCAGAGTTTCTGAAAAAAATTCTTTCAAAAAACCAATGAACCAATTTATTTCATTTACTGACTGTACAAAAAAAAAAAAAAAAAAAAAATTCATCATCAAAGACTGCGTATATTTATTAGCAGAATCATGGAATTCTGTTTCCCAAGCAACATAATATAAGACCATCTTCTCTTTTTACTGAAACTGAGAGCGATGATAGTGAATTTTCCGATTTGAGGATCAATGCAATAGAGGTTAAAGTAAGAGAATTGCATCTGTATTCGAAAGAAAGAACAAATGCAGCAGTTTTGCAAGAAGATATTGCTGTTGAATGACTGAATGTTTCCAGATGAGTGAACACGGGCATGTCAGATGACCGATGATGAAATTAATGGCTCTGGTTTGAAATCAACACAGCAAGAAAACAATTCCAACACTGACACGTATAGGAACTAGGAGTGAGAAAATATCTTTTAATGAAGGTTTGGAACATAGTGAAAAATACCTAAAATCTTCAATGCAGTGCTGTATCACAGAGAGAGAGATTATACAGTCAAAAGACGTTAATTCGGACACCCATAATACGAAATGATCTATAATCCGGACCTCAAAGCTACAAACTTTCTGCGCATGTGTCACGTTGACGCATGCACGTAAGACCTTTACGGGCGCGAAAATGCGTGTGCGCATGCGCAAAATATGTTTACGCATGCGCGTTTAATGTATAACGGATTGTATAAGCTAAGCTAAAATTATCTAATTCACTTAATGTTGCAGATTGCGTTGTTCCTTAATCTTCGAATTAGATCCGGCTTATTATTTTTTGCAGACTGTTAGAGCAATTTTATAAAAGTAAGCTTGAACTTTAGATTATGTTAAATAGAATTTTCGATATATATTTACTGATATGTAAAGGATCTACAAAGCGAAAGTATGTTTTGAAGTCCAATAAACAAAAAAGGAACTGCTGAAAATAATGACCTAACTATTCCGAAATCTGTTTATCAATTTCACGCTGCTCTGCGACAGGGGGGAGGGGGGAAACGCAATGAATTGGAAGTTGATCTGTCAGCACTATCCTTATCTTCAGGGCAGATGTTTTCATTTTATTTAGCTTATAATTCCTTACTAAATGTAGTATTTCATCTCGATGTATTCCGTCTTTGATATGATTTAAATCAAATTCCTCATCATTATAATTTGCTTCCGATAGTGAAGAATGGGACACAGAGGTTATTGAAAACGAAAAAATTTCGACTGACATATTAGTCGGTATTCTCGACACAGCAATTATAGGACTTGAAAAGCGGAACTTTGTAACTGAAAAAGAAATTATGTCTGTTTATAGAATTAAAGAGAAAGTATTATCACATAAAACGAAGCAACTTAAACAACTTACATTGAAAGAAATGTTTAATAAAGTAAACAAATAAATATTAAGCTTTTTTTTTTTTTTGTAAATTTTGATACCCTTTAGATCATAATTGTTCTTTATTTCATAAATTACAGTTTCATATTTTTAATTTTATAATTTCTGCATGCCATCTTACAAGATTTAAACTGATGATCTATAATCCGGAAAAATCGATAATCCAGAGTCGTGAAGTCACGACGAGTCCGGATTAACGACGTTTGACTGTATAACTTAGAAAAAAAATTACTCTGGTGCACCCTAAAGTTTTCAAACAAACCTCTATCAGAAAAAGTTTGAAACATGTAAAGAAAAATGAAATATTTTACCCTTTATTAATGTTCATTATTATGTCTTTAATCTGCATGTCATTTATTCTACATATCCTTAATGCCCTTATTTATTTTGCACTTTTAGTCTGTATCGTATGATTTATCCTTTTTATCCTGGAATACAACAAATTCCTACATTGTGCACAAGCTCTGGTCCTAAGGATTGTGGATTTCTGGTCTTCAAATACATTCCCTTAATTACAACATTAAACATATTTATACAACTTAAAATACTCATTTTAATATTTTACCATAGAAATAATCAAATAACTAACAGCCACTTCAAAATTATAATTATTAAAATTGCACATGTATTTGTATTAAACATGTGAACATCTAAATGTACATATTCTATTCAAAACTGGGAGGCCACCAGCGACCAAGCAGTGAAGTCACTGCTCGGTCGCTGGTGAGTCACCAGAGTTCGAGTCCCAGCAAACGAGTTGGCTGCATGGGCACTTTCATGATTTTGTCATGTGTAATGTGTACACAAGCCATTTCCCTTAGAAAGTCAACACGAAGCCATGCCTTCCTTTAAGCAGATAGCCCTTGAGTGCTTATCCCTGATCATACTGTAGAGTTTCTAATTTTGTAAACGCTACGTTACAGTTGAACATGAAGAATCTTAAGAACTAGTAAGCGAATAATCGCTCGAGTTCGTATAGATGAAACAACCTAAAAAGGTAAAATAACCCTTTATTATTCAGATAAGAGTTAACAGAACTCCATCTTGGAGTTTTACAATAAAGTCAAACACTTGGGCTTTGAACTTAAGATATTAAGAACTAAACTAAAACTAAGCTTAACTAAAGAGATATAGCCGAAGCTATCAAAGTTTTAACGTAGTTGGCCCCTTAAACACAAGATGACTGCAAAGCTATCGAAGGCCTGAGTACGGCCAAGTGTAATAACAGCTTTGAGAGAGAGTAGCCAAAAAGGCGGACGCGCGTTAATCAGAAACTCTCTCTCCCTCGACAAGTAGAACTATGCGGTTAAATACCGCTCCTCCTCATTAGGTATTCAGACGTGATTCTAAAACTACGTTCTGGCCGGAAGTAGTAAGTTGAAGTTAAGAATTTGACAGGAAAGAAATTTAACTCAAAATTTAACTGTTAATAAAATTAACATAATCCTTACAATATAAACAAAATCTATTCAAACCTGAGAACATTAATCAGATAGGTATTATATTAATGGACGCTATTCTTTTCGACCAAGAAACTATCTTCATACATCCTTCTATTGCAAATTCATTCTATCTTAACTTCATACATCCAAGTTCTATTGTAAATGATAACTGTTATGCTTACTGTAAGCATAACAGTTATGTGTTATGTCCAGTGGTGACTGTAACCTCATTTCAGAAAGCCTGAAAACTACTGAGGAATAAGAATGCAACATAATTTCAAAAATTCAGATTGTTAACGCGATACACATTTATAAATGAATACATACATATTTCCTACTAACTCTGTTATGAAAGCAAAATGTTTAATGTTTTCACATTCATTGAATATTAATTTATGTCTTATATGATTTCACAAAGTCATTTAACCTTTCCAGTGTACGAAGGTTTTAAAAAATAACTGAAGAGTTTAGCTTGCTTTTCAAGAATATAATAAGTTCTGGAAATTACTGCATATATATAATTTTTTTTTTTTTTTTTTTTGCTAACAAGTGAAATGTCAATCCAGATGATGATTTCTTACCTAATCCTTCAAAGTATTACATTAGAATACATAAAGTAGGTATATTTACAGGTGATAGAGATGAAAAACTGCTAGCAGAAAGAAAATGATTCATAAAATGTGGAAAATTTTATAAGCTGTCCAGATATTCAATAATTGTCCCTAAAATGTTTACCAAGTTACAAAGTTTCAAGGGAGAGTTATAATCCAAAAACTTCCCCCATACTTTTGTTTAATGATAATAAATAATATTGCACAGTCTTCAAAGTATTTAGGTTATCAGATAAGATGTCTTACATTCTTTCATAATCTCACCCACAGAATTAAATGCATATTCAACTGTGGATCCATGGAGTAAACTAAAACAGATTTTATGAGTTTTGTCAGTATTGATTATTCCTGTTTTCCACCTTCTTTAAACCTCAATGCTTCAGTTCAAAATTTTATATTAAGAAAAGCAATTGTTTCACCACACAAACATGATTACTGTCACTAAATTTGATTAAACCGGGTTCTTAAAAGCTGGGTCACCCCCATATAAGCATATAGTATTCTACGCATATATAGTATGCATCTACATATAGTTTTCTATGCATGTTTCTTCAGATTACATTTAAATTCCCTTTCCAGTGAAATATATTTTTTTTTTTCAAAATTTTTAATTTTTATAGCCCCTGCACCAATAAAAATTAACCACAGGAATTAATATTCAAGATTACTGTCTGTGAAGATTGTGTGTCCATACAATGATCCGATGCATTCGATTTTGAACATGGTGTTTGATTTCTCGGACTGAGACTTTTCGATTTTGAGAAGGTAAAAAATTTGCAATTTCTTCCTCCCCCCCCCAAAAAAGTAGGAAAAGACATGCTAATATCACAAAGGATTTTGATAATTTAATAAAAAACAAGAAACATGCCTAATGATTACTAAAATTAAATAATGATAATCATTCAAAAGAAATAATAAGTCATATTTTTGCAAGGAATTACCATGATCAGCTGAATTTTTTGCTTTAATTTCAAGAATTCGAACAAGAGATTCTAAGCTTTCAACTTTGCTTTGCAAGTCACGACGATCATCATCAACAGAGTATTCTAGTTCTAAAAGTTTCTAAAATAAGAAGAAGAAATCATAAGTATCATAATCAGAGATAACAACACCTCAATCATACACATGTAAAAAGAATAAATACCTGTTCTGCGGATTTTCTAAGCTGTTTCTCTCTCTCAAACTGAGTAACTAACTGCTCATTATCTTCTCTTAATAACTCTAATTCAACTTCGTGCTCCTGATTCTCCACGAATGACAGGTCCAAATGTTCTAGTACACTTATAACTAACGGCATCAACTGTTTTACTACATCTTCATCGTATTTTGAGATCATCCTAGCAAATTCTTCATAAATGCTATTTGCTAAAGTCTGAACTTTGTCTGACATTACGTGGCATTCCTCGCCAGGCGAAACTCCATAAACAGTTTCATGCATCAAAGGTGTATCTACATCCATCGCGATTTATTACTAATATTAGTCATTCAGAAATTTGGGAGAGGAAAAAATATAAATGCTTCATAAGAAAAGTACAATGGGGTAAAGAAAAATACATCTGCTCCATCATTTTAATACACTTTCGATCAAGATTAGAGTAATTTTAATGTTTGGTATTTCTGCTATGCAATCTTATAACTACATAAACAGATGTCACTTCATGTTTTTTTAACTGCCTGTAAAATATCGTAAAGTATATGTGGCATAACAACCGAATGAAATCATAGCGTTTGTTATTATCATCTCGTTGAAAAACAAAGGATAACAAACATTTTGCATACAGTTTCTAAATCAAAACAAAATACCCATGCGAAGTACCACTTGTCACAAGTTAATGACGTCACATCAGTCTAGATAACCGAAAATCAAAAAGAAAATTTAGTAAAACAATAATTTTAAAAAAATTACAAATAAAAGCCTAAAGCTACAATTCAAACAAATTAAAAACACCGAACTTTTAAGTAATAAATTCCAAAGTTAGTTTTCTTCCTTTAAAAACGGGTTTCCTTCATTAGAAATAATTTCCTTATTCTTAGCACAAGTGATCTTGGTTCAGAATTCCGTAAGTAGCTGAAAATAGTTCAAAAATTTTGTTTTCCTATGTTCTTATTTGCACCTAATTATTAAACAATTATGTACTCCAGAGAGTTTATTGATACATTTTTGCAGTAGAAGCTACTTCGACTACCATTACTAGCAGCTGTTTTCATTTGTTTTGATATGTTTTGATATCGAAAGGATACGAACGTAGTAGTCTGCTAATAAGTTTTAGAATAAATTGTTGTATTTCAGATTTTGATATTATATTGTGTATTTTTGACAGTTTTCATTTCATATGTTCACAATGAATATATACCGTGGAAAAACATTAATAAATTTCTTAAAATGCAGAATCTTCGGAGTTTCACGCTATCGAATGTCATCTAGCATTCGCATAGGATGCGCAAGCGGATTTTGGGGCGACACAGCCGCGGGAGGTAATTTTTTTCCCGTTAATTCTTCCTCTGAAATGCAAGCCTAATATCTAGTCATTAAATTTATCCATTCCCATGAACATTTGTAACGCTTGAAAATAAATTTATCCATTCCCATGAACATTTGTAACGCTTGAAAATAAATTTGTAACACATTTTCTTCATTATGTAAATTAGCATTAATATTTTATTTATTTTTAATAGTTCCTGCCTTAGTTCAAGCGGGTAAACTAGATTTCCTAGTTTTTGATTACTTATCAGAAATTACGATGTCACTTTTGGCCAAAGCGAAAGAGAAATCCCCTGTAAGTATAATGCAATGTTTTGAATTTTGTATGATATTTACAAAATTTTGAAAAATTCTGTATCATATGTGCGGCTTAAGGAGATGAGCTAAGATGTCACATTTAGTTCTTTTATTTGGGGGGTATGAATTGCTGAGTTTAAATTTGATACATAAGATTCATATTTTCAGATATTTAAAAATCATTTATTTCAAATATATCAGCTATTGTGGTGCAAAACAGTATGACTATAAGTAAATTCCTGGCAAGAGAAGTGAACCAATTATGTCAGCTCAAAATAGATAGAAAGACTGACTAATCTTTGGAGTATGGTATGTTAATGTAACTGTTATTAGTTAGCCACAAACTGTTGAGATCTTTGGTTTTGAAAGTAGATTCAAGTTTGTGAGTATGCAAAATAAGTGAATAATTGTTCGAATGGGTGAAAGGCATTTAAATGAAATTACAATGTTTAGTGCATTATATATCTGATGTATCTGTAAATAAATACTTCTTAATAATATTTTGCAGTAAGTGTTATTTATACAGTAAAAGTGATAAAATGGATGTCTAATACCCTATAATATATCAGTGGCAAAACTTCTATTTCTGTATAGTATTGTTGTCATCCAAAATAAAATTAAATGGTGGTAGAGAAATTTTGTAGTAATGAACAAAGTGCAAGTATTTATAAATAATACTTTCAGTTTTATTCTAGAAATTATATGCTTTTTTAATATTTTGATATTTTCTATTTGTGCAATTTATACAAAAACTGTTTAGACAAAAAGAAAATGCAAAGACAAATACAGCAGCTTTTAAATTTTATTTACAAGTAAAAGTTTAGTTTTATGAATTGATAGCATTTGATATTATTTTTTTTTTTTTCCTTTAGAAAAGAAACAAAGAAGGAAATATTTGTACTTTTTTTTTAATTTTCAAAAAATTTTAATGCTAAATTGTTTTTAAAAGTAGTAGGCTTTAATCTGTGTTTTAATACCTATGTTTTCAGATTGCCTGTAATTTAAAATGAAATATTACTTATTTATTTAATTTTTATATTGTTTTTTAAGTATTAAACTGTAAAAAAAAGTTTTCCAGTTGATCTTTAACCTTTGAGAAAGTTACTTTACACATGCATAGTTTTATAATAGGAATGTAATCATCTTATGCCTAAGATGTATTATTTATCACAAATATTCACTGACTTTTAGGCATATGTATTTTTAGTTATCTTAATGATTTGAAGGACTAAAAAGAGATAATATGTTTTCAGTAAGCATAGTTGTATTTATGGTGCTAATTAATCAAGTTTTCTAGGACATGGGATACACGCCAGATTTTATACACTCTGCCATGCTTCCAAATCTTCAAGCTATAAAGGAAAGAAATGTTCGAGTGGTAACTAATGCTGGTGGAATTAATCCCCATTCTTGTGCAGATGCCCTTAGAGCAGCAGCAAAAAAATTAAATATAGACTTTAAAATTGCCATTGTAACTGGTGATGATTTATTACCACAAGTAAGTTTTTTTCATAATTGCTCTGAAGAAAAATGTATTATGTAGTGTAATGATTCTCAACCCATTTGACACAACACACACAACTGAGTTCTAATGATTGTGATATACAATGATAATAGATTTTAATTAACACTGTTGTTGCTACTGTTACTATTCATCTATTTTAAATCATCTGTCAATAGCATTTTCAGTTCATTTTCAGTTGTACTTTGTTAATTTTATAAAAAAAGTTATTAACAATGTCCAGAAGGCATTATAATCTTTTTAGAGAATATATATTCCATTGTTAAAAGCTAAAGTATAAATTACAGTGCATATACTATCTACATTATTTTAAGTAATTAAAGACTTTTTCAATTGCTGCCGCTTAAAGCTTATTAGCAATCCTTCCATGCTACCATTTGATGAATAGTGTATGTGAAACGTCATATCCTAAGAAGCAGAAATTTTGTAGTTCATAATTCTTATACACAGCATTTTGAGGTCACTTGTTTTCAGTCTAAATGATGTATTTACCTCAATCTTAATATGATGAAGTACATAGCTTTACAAAAAAAATGATAGGTAACTTGTTTTCAGAATCCATTCATGCAATCATATATTTCTCATGTTTTGGTAAGTGAGATTCCAGGAAGGTAAAGTGTGATTATGAAAGATTTGACTGTGTTAGAACCAAATGCATGTTCAATTAAATTGAAGTTTTACTCATTCTCTGAATTATAATTAAACCAACTTGTTTTATTTTAAGGATCACATTAAATGTTTTTACTAATTTCATATTTTCTCTTCCCACAATTGAATAACTATTAGAAAAGGGCATTTACTTAATAGTGCAACATGTGGTTTTTTTACAGAAGGAAAAGGTGATTCGATGAATATTCAGTATAATAACAATGGAATAACAATGGACATAGTTACTTTACTCAAAGAACTGTTATGCAAATGGTTGCCAGAATTTGGCGACTTTTCAAAATTTGACAATTTTTGCTGACGTGGTTGTGATAATACATAAGTACCTAGAAAAGATACTACATGAAATATTGCTTTCTAAAGCAAGAACAGTGTGAAATTAACTTTCAAGAATTTTTTTGTCAAGTACTTTTATTATCTATAAGCACAAAAGGAACACTGAAGAAATGTTTCCAGCATATATTATGAGCAAATAACTGGAAAATATTAATAGTGCATGCAATGCTTTGATGATTATAGGGATAGAGGGAATTATTTTAAATTATTTTTAGCATGGACATTAAAGGTATGATGTCTTATCAGGGTTCATTTACCTGTTTTCAGTAACTGGTCCCTTGCTTCAATTAACCATATTTTTATCAAGACTTTATCCATTGATAAAATTTCGTTGCTATTCCTAGGAAATATTGTAGTCAGAGACCATATATTCCTTAATGTAGAAAGTAAACAAAATTGATGTTAATTTTAGTTTTGAAAGCTCTTGAAATTTCAGAGTTTTTCTTCTTGTTCCCTCAAATGTACACAGTATGAATGCATATTAAGGGTAAGTTCATAAGGGGGAAGACTTTTTTCCTAATAATTGTATGAATATATTTAATTAATGGTTTCAATCTACAGTGAGTACTTAATTTAAGTTAGTGGTTTCTGTGTTCTTTTTGGATCATAATCATGTAGTTTTCATTTTTTTTAAACTGATAAATTCGTTTTGTAAAATTTGACTGATTAAGTTATTTGTATGAAAACATACATATGTTTTTTAATCTGACTAACAACATATAAATTCTGCTTTGCATACCAGCTTTCTCAACATCAGGTCCCATAAAAGCCAGTTAACCAGGAATCTATTGCAATACAAGCTGATTATCTCTAGCTGTCTATCATTAAATTGTGTTGTTGAATATATAATAGTTTAATTGCTGTACAAATCATTTAAAAAAAGCTTAGTAACTGGGGGTATACTAGTTGGTTTCTGGTATCCATTAGTACACCACAATGTCTTTTGGTGCCTTTTAAGGGCATAATCCAATTGTTTTATTTCTGGCAGGTATCCTTTAGTATTTAAAATAGCATCAAGCAGATTGATTTTCTGTCCAGTTTGTCTCAGCCTCTGTATGAACTCTGAAAAGAAAAAAGAGAAGTGATGATCAGTTGCACCACACTGCTGTTTATTCCTTCATCTTACTGGTCCTCACATATGTTTCATTGTTTGTATGTGAAAACCAGTCTCGAGATCAATGCTGACATTGAAACAAATTTAAAAATAATAACAATCCATCCATTCTCTATCCTTCCAAGAGAGAGAAGATTAACAAAAAAGGAAATAAAAGTCTGATCCTTGTATAAGAATTCAGAATAGCTTTAATAGGGCTGCTGGCAAAAATCAGATTCATGGACAGTATTTTGGCAAGTATGGGATCACCAAAGAGTGCCATGTTTGGATTTGTGAACATGAATTTAAAAAAAAGTAGTTTATATCCCCCCCAATCCTAAATCCTTTTTTTTTTATTGTGATTATGTAATTCAAAAATGGATTTAAAAATTAAGTTCTTTTAATTTTTCAAGATTAAATTTTTTACATGCTTTGATATAATCAGATTGAATTTTAAATTTTCTTGACAGAAAGAAAATATCAAAAATTTGAATATTAAAGATATGGATAAAGGATTTCCTTTTCCCAAAAATGTACATAGTATGAATGCATATTTAGGGTAAGTTTATAAGAAGAAAAAAATTCTTTTTTTCCTAATAATTATCTGAACCTATTTTGATGTAGGTAGTAATTTTTTCTTTCTTTTTTTTTTTTTCCCTTCCAGAGCTGGCCCTATTGCTAAAGCTCTAAGCTTAGGGGCAGACATAGTAATTACTGGTCGTTGTGTTGATAGTGCTTTAGTGTTGGGGCCATTAATAAATAAAGTAAGTGATTAAAATTAAAATATAAAGTATTTTTTTGCTAAATGTTTTTGTTACAAAATTTTCTGATAGCTAAATTAATAAACTCTATATGGATTTTATAAATTTATATGTAAATTTTTGTGTCATTTTCTGTATAATTCCCTAATGTGTTATTTTTTAAATATATGTTATTAAATTATGCTGCATTGTATCTTTGGTCGTTTTCTTTTAGTTTAAATGGAGTATGCAAGATTTAGATAAACTTGCTATGGGAAGGTCAGTTAAAAGTCAAATTTTTAAATTCAATTATATACATATATTTATATTACAAATTAATTAGACTATTTAAGATGCATTTTGAATTTATTATTTTGAAATAAATAATAATTTGTTAATAATTTAATAATTTGTTATAATTTTATTTAGTTTGGCAGGTCATTTGTTAGAATGTGGTGCTCAGTCTACTGGTGGCATTCATACTGACTGGCATTTAATAAAAGACTGGTAAGTTATACTTTAAATACTGTTGCATATGATTCTCTGGGTTGTAAAATTATATATTTGTGATCATTAATGTGACATGTATTTTTCTCTGTCACATGCAAATGTTTAAAATTTATCTTAATAATATTTTATAAAAAATTGTCTGTTTTGTATTTGTTTCGAATGTAGTTTGCAATCATAAGATTTAAAAATAACAATATTTACCTGTTCATTTTTTTTTCTGCCATTTAAATTGAAAAGGCTAATTATAAGCTTTATTTATCTCAGTTGTGCAAAGAGGAATTTGCCAAATAATGATGGATAAATTTGGTTTCAGGGCTGAAAACAAAAACAATCACAAAAAGTATTCTGGTAGTGATTTTTATAGAGAGGTTCTGAAAAAGAATTTACAGAGTATATTTGTTAAAAAAGTCTCTTGTATTTTGTGCAGATGTTTCTCAAAATGTTACAGATTTTTCAATATACAGTATAAAGTCTAAAATCCAGGTATCCGACATCTGGAATAATCTAATATCCAAATCATCAGCTGAAATTAAAAATAATATAAAAAAGTCTTAAGAATGGGAAATATTAATTAAAGCATGTGATGCTTCAACAAAAAGAAGCAGTTATGCCATAAATATGATTGATTTTTCTTGGAACTAACTGACATTCCTGCTTGTCACATTTAAACACCTTCTGGTTAGGAAAGTGGCACTGTGGCCAATGCCAGTACATTGACTGGCATTGTATCGATGTTGGCCAGGATCAAATTTCAGTCTTGAATGGCTGTGGCGGGGGGTTAGGATTCTTCTATCTGACCTGAGCAATGAAGGAAGCCCCAATGTTGCTATGTCTACATGTCATCTTAGTAGATTTAAACCGACATTCTAAAATCCAAAATTGTTCGAGTCCCAAGTATTCAGGATCTTGACTTTATACATATTTAATTTATTAGAATGGAGGACTCTTTGTTAATATCATCAAAAGTAAAAGGATTAAATTTATAGATGTGTCTCCATCAGAGAAAATATTGCCAAATGTATAAAATGTCATCAAACATTAATTCATGAATAATATAGCATTAACATTTAATTTATGAGCAATATAGCATTAATATTTAATTTATGAATGATATAGAAGTATTCTTTTAGCAAAAAATTTAAATGTTTAGACAGTATATAAAAGACCTTAGAATCCAAGGTTTAGCTATTTTGTATGTAGTTCTATCTATGTTTATTTCTCCTTTTCTGTTTTTATTGAGCAAACAAATGAAATAATTTTTTAACATTTATTAGAAAAAAGTGGATAAAAACAGTATTATTGAACTGTTGAACAGAATGAAATGCTTACTGAAAGTTATGTGTGCCTGATTTGTAGAGAGAGAAACTTAGTGAGGTAACCATAGGTTCTGGTTTAAATGGGTCAATGCCATTTTATTTTCATGTCTTATGCTTTTCATCATTTTGGAAAAGTACTAGTTTTGTTCCATTTCATATCCAATACAAATATTTTAAAACAAGCTGAAATTTTGGTTCATTAAAATATGTAAACAAATTTGTGCCGATGGTACCCATCATACTTAAGAAGACATACTTATCTGGATTGATGGAAAGGAGAAATGCTTGTCTTATATGCTGCATTTATGCAGTGATATTAGTGTATGGTAATATTTGATAGAGAGCAGTAAATATTTGCTGAAACAAATGGACAATCTTTTCAGCTTCAGATTTTTTGTGATATTGCAGAATTTGTCCTTTGTCTACCTGGAAGTACAGGTTTCATGGAATAATATTTTCTGTTATGAGTAACATGTATGAAGAAGTTTGATTTAAGATCCCAAAAAGTGAAAGTCATGTTAAATATTAGTATAAGTTTTGTGAAAATGTATTGAAAAGTCAAATTTGTTTTGAAAGTAATTTCATCTAAGAAATGCATAGTATTAAGCACCAACATATGCACTCCCTTTCTACATCAAGTTTCATGTGAGCTGCATGAAGAATTATTTTTAAATTCTGTATTTTGAAACTTTTAAGGTGTCATACTTATTATGAAATCATTGCTTGATGAGATCAGGTTTTGGTTTAGAAATTAATCAAGTGGAAAAAAAATTAAATGGATATGTTGTTGCTATATGAAAAGGGGGGATATGTGTGATCTTGAAGTTGGTGGGAAAAGATTCTTAATTTAATGAAAGTAAATCAAGGGCAGTTTTTATTTCCTAGTAGACGATATATGGTTTATGAAAACATTGAATAAATTTATTAACAAAAAATCATATGAAAATTCTCTTTGCATGTTTACCAATCAAAAACTGTTTTCTTATATGAAGAATATGTTTTAATTGATTAATTTTTTATCAGTGTTTCTAATAAAATCTTTTTAGTTCAGAGTTTTTTCTTTAACACAGTAGAATGGTAGAAAAGAATGTCAAATGTGTAAGTACATGAATAATGTACAGTATGGTATTACTTTAACTTGGGAATCTGAACTACAGAATTTTCAAGATTGATTAAGAAAGATTGAACAAAATGGTTGATTAAGAAAGATTGACCAAAATGGGGAAATGACAGTACTCTTAAATAAGAAATGTTTAGAATCGAAATATAGTTGCTGGAGGGCCACTTCCTACTAAATTTAATTTAATTAAATAATTTTTTACATAAGGTTATAAAGTAGTTCTAAATAAAGACAATGAATTTTCCAGACATTTCAGATGTTTAAAAATCTGTTAGGTGTTAATTAAAAAAGTATATTTGATTGTTCAGGTACTGGAAAATAATAAAAGACCTGGAATTTATAAAGAAAAGAGCCATCAGATAAAATTTCTCTTGGAATTAAAAGTTAGAATGCAGTAGCAGTTCATTAATGTGGCACCTATTTAAGATGAATATCTGATTGGTAAATTACAAATCTTTTCTGGCTGAGGCATTTGAATATTCAATGCTAAAGGTATTATTTGTCTTGCTTACCAAAACTAGCTTTATAAATTCTTATTTTACCTTTAGCCTAAGGATGTATGAAATAGGTTTAATCTGACATAGTAGCAGGTTTAATCTGACATTCTGTTGTACTAAAGAAGTGGGCAATTCATTCTTAAATTGAATTAAAGAACCAATTCATGTTACTGAGCAAATGAACAATTGTTCACCAAAAAAGATCAGTAGCTCTTTTAAAGTTCATTCATCGAAAGCTCTTGTTGGAAGTATGCCAAGAAAGTTCGATTCCCATTTTAGGAGAGAAAGATACCCATTCCTTTCTCCTCCTATGTTAAAATGAGTTTAATTTTTATCATTTTACAACTTTTTAACTTTTTTAATTCAAAAAATTTTTATGGGTTCTATGTAGAAAGAAGGTTTTAGGGAATCTCAAAACTAGAGTTGAAAGAAGTCCAGGGAGTTAGCAGTTCAATTGAACTGATTCTTCCGATCCCACTGCTTATTCAAATCTTTCCATTCTTCACTGTATTGTCTTACATTACTCTTGATTCACTCGCCGGCCATATTCATCAGGACTGTTGTTAGTGAGAAAGAACCGTAGAAAAGAACCAGTTCACTTCAGTGAACAAATTTTTCTGGTCTAATATCATAAAAGAGTTATTTTGCCCACCTCTGTATTACTTAAAATTTAAGTTCTTGTTCACCTGTCTTCAAGCATAGGAGGGTCTAAAATTTAGATTTGAAATTGTCAATACTACATAAAATCTGAAACATAATCACAACTGTGCTGATATTATCAAGCAAGAGATCATGTTTACAAATCAGATTTCTGAATATCTTAATAAATTGGAGAAAGATGATGTTGAGGAAAAATCATTTGGAGAAAAGATCATCAATCAATTCTAGATTAATATAAAAAATGACTTTTGTATTAATCTAGAATTTGTAATGTGAAATGAAAAAAACTGTTCAGTTTTTCTATGAGGCTTATTGAAAATGAGTGAATTTCCATAATAGGGGGTATGTAAATATCTTTGTGATAACTTACCTAGTATGCATTCATGTGTTTTATTTTACTAATTTATCCGTTTATGTTGTGTATGCATATTACATTACTATGCAAGTTATTGCTGAATAGTTTGAAGTTTAACATACTAAGACGTTTATCTTTTAGTATGGACTCCCATTAAAAACTGATTTTTTATTATTCATGTTAGTGAGAATTTGTGAATTCAAAATTTACTGTTGCATTACAAATAGTCTAGTTATAAAATACATTAGTTTTGAAATAATTAGATTACAATACCAGTCTTAAAATTTATTCTCTGCTTCCTGATTTTGGCATGCTTCCTGGAAACTGTAGTGATATTAGAGAATAGAAGAAGATTTTGCTGAAGAAGAATAAAGGAATCCAAAAGCTATATTCGGTAAACTAAAATGTTACTTTATTGAAAGATTAGTATTGCTGCACAAAAAAAGAATGTCCTTGTAATTATAAAAAAGTTATAAAGCTGCTTGAAAGAAAAAAGAGCAAGTCATAATAAATATGTAAGGAGCCTCTTTGTAACTAAGTAAATATATATATGCATCACGTATCTAATTTATGTACCAACGATTTTTGCTTCTATGCATAAATCATTGCCTTTAAGCACACCCACTAATTTAGAAAACATTAGTATGTGCAAAGGGTTATTTACGTGCACCAAGTTATTGGCTTAAAAACTGCACAATTAATTGATTAAAATAATTTTTAAATGAAGTTTTTTGTATATTAGAGAAATCAATTTTAGCAGTTATATAAAAAATAACAGAATTTCTTTGAATTGATACATTTGTATGAAATATAATGCAGTTTACTTTTTTATGTGTTTTTGAGCAGATTCTTTAGAAATACCTTTTATTACCAAGAATTACATATAAATAAACATATAGACCTATTTTGTTATTACAGAATACAATATAACATGTTATGGCATTTAGGCTTATTATACTTGAAAATTTACCTTCGAAATTTCAGTATATTTCTGTTATTGTGACTGAATTAAGATATGTGTTGTGACTGACATACATATAAATTTGCATACATTGACACGTACATACATAAATTTCTGAATCCGGTTCCGATAACAGAAGAGTACCAAAATTTCTTCACAAAGGCACTCCTTGTCAGACAGGTAACTCTCTAGTACTTTGCCATACTATATTCATATTTGCCTTTATAGGGAGATATTGAGCACTAATATAATAAATAATCATATTTGCCTTTATAGGGAGATATGAGCAGTAAATTGTTCCATCTCCAATAAATCTTCCCTATGATAGGCCCAAAAAAAAAAAAAAAAAAAAAAAAAAAAAGAGAGAGATCCTGAAGTATTTTTCCTCTATACTGGTTCTGATAACGGAAGAATACCAAAATTTCTTCACAAAGGCACTCCTTGTCAGACAGGTAGTATTTTTTAATAAATCTTCCCCATGATAGGCAACAAAAAAAGAAAGAAAGATCCTGAAGTATTTTCCCTCTATACTGGTCTGATAAATGACTTTATTATTGATAACTAGAAGCACTGTTTGTTAGTTTATTTAAAATTCTTTTTGGCTGGGGTAATTTTCATCGCAATGCTTGTATTTATCAGATAACTTGGTAAAAAAAAATTAAATATTCTATTATTCCAAAAAGTATTCAAAATCCTTACATGTTAAAGCAAAATGCAAATTAGTTTTGAAATTATTAAAAAAATAATATAACATCTAATAATCAAACCCACTTTATTTGCCTGAATTTTGAAACATATTTTGAATCACTGAATCTTAACGGTTAAATACTCTTTTAGGCATAATATGGGATTCCCAATTGCTGAATGCAAAGAAAATGGTGAATTTGTTGTTTCAAAGCCTCCAAATACTGGTGGTTTGGTATCTGTAGGAACTGTGTCCGAGCAACTAGTGTATGAAATTGGTGATCCCGCAAATTATGCACTGCCAGATGTGTTATGTGATTTTTCTAATGTTAAACTAACACAAATAGCTGGTAAGTTTATAAATATTATAAAAAAATATGTGCAGAATAGGTTAGCTAATACTCTTCTTTATCGCATACTGTCTCTTAGATTTAAGGTAATAAAAATATTCTTTCATTGCAAGTTGAAAGTCATTTGGTATTGATATTGTCATTTAAATTACTAAAGTTACACAAAATTCTTTAACCCTGAAATTATATGTTATTGATTGTAAAAATTTTCTTACCAATAATATTTTTTTTTTTTTCTTTTTTTTTTTTTGTGTGTGTGTGTGTGTTAAAATTAAATAAAAGGAAATGTTTAATTTTTATAAAAAATTAATATCTTACTAAATGTCAGTAGTCATTTTTCATATCATTTAAAATACAGGAAAAGGTATTACATGCACTTATTTATTTGTGTAAAAAATAAATGAAATTTTGAAAGTCAAAATATTTCACACTAAAATCAAGTTTTGAAACTTTCCCTTAGTGTCAAAATTCTGTTCATTTATTGAAACTTTGGTTTCAAAAATAAGGCTTTAGCCATGCATATGTAAGGGAGAAAACCATATTTGGATGGATTACTTTTGTGTATTCTGTTCACTCCCCCCCCCAAAAAAATAATAATAGTGTTGCTATCCATCAGTGGTGATCAAACAAGACCAATGAATGCTGTTAGTTCACCCTTAGTCCATTTCTAGCAAGTATGTGAGAATTTTACAATTTTATCCATGTAAAGCATGATTGTAAATCAATTTATAGTAGAAGTTTCTTCTCAAAAGCATCCCTTATCAGATAACTGGCAAGTACTTCGCTGTAGCAAATATCAAAAAGCCTTGGAAATTTTATAAGGCTTGAAAGCTAAAACCAAATTTTCTATTAATTTTTTTTAATTGTGAAATTTCATTTATCAGTGGGGTATTACTGTAAAATGTATTTTTGCATCTAAAAGGAGAAAAATTTATCCAATTTACAAAGCCATTCTTCTAATGGGTTTCATTGGATGGGATTTAGATTATTATAAGAAAAAGCTGACACTAACTAGACGTTCAAGTATTAAACAATTAAGGTAATTTCACATTTGTTTTGTTATGCATTTTCCCTATGTGATTTAATTCTTTTTTTTTTTTTTTTTTTTTTTTCTTTGAAAAAATAAAAAAATTCATTATGGCAAAACATTGGTTGCATATCGACCTTGAAAATATTATTCATGGAGGACCTTCTAATGGACATTTCCTTCCATTGCATCTATAAAGAAAACAATAGATACACAGCATTATTACCCAATAGATACACAATGTAGTTCTTTTTCTTTTATCATAGAATGAAATCCTTCAGCATTTAGCATTTTTATTGAATCATCTGCAGATTACCAAATGTCCTTATTTTTCTAGACATACCTTCATTTTTAAGAATGAAATTAATATATAGGAAAAATTTTCAAGATCAGCTCCAATGTCCAGAAATTGAACTTGTGTGCTTCAATTTTTAAAAAGTAGAAGTCAAAGATCTTCTACTACAGAAGTAGTATGAAGATTTGGAAGAAAAGAATAAGTAGTTCCATAATCCTGTCAGAAATCTGGACTGTGATTATTTACAGTTTCTGGATTTGTGGATTGAGCCATTTAAAGAGTTTTCTTGTTTTTTGTTCAACTAAATTAAATTTTAAAACTTCTTTATGTATTAAACAAAGTTATGCAATCCAAAAGGAAAAGTAGGAGAATAAACTCTGATAATAATATAATTAACTCTGCAATATAATAAAGAAAAAAAGTCAACTTGAGTCTCATTCTGAACTACTGACACTTACTGAATTATCCTTAGTCATTTTGTCCATAATATGGAGCACTAATTCAAGTGCAATCTTTAAAGAGAGGAGGCGTTTTGCTGTTCAGATCTTTGATTATAATGAAATATAATTTCATCATCTCTATTTATTGATATTTCAAAATAGCCTGATATTTTAAAGTAAATCAGAAAAATAAATTCCTGGGCTGTTTAAGTGAAATTACCTTATTTTGAAATGTTAGTTACTAAAATGAGATTAAATAATAAAGTTCATTTTTATATATTTCAGTGCATAGTCAAATTATAATATTTTAATAAAGTCAAAATATGTAACATTTCAACTGTTAAAATTTAGAGGCTTTTTGCTTATTGTGTAAATTTATATCTGTAAGATATTGTATAAGGTTTGAAAGATGTTATCTAAGGTGTGGAATATGAACTGGTATAATATCTTCGTTTTTATATTTCAAGAAATGGTATTACTAGCTGTTAGATCCAACAAGAGACTTCTGAATACAAGAAACTGGTTTTAGTTTAGATTGATATGAAAATTTGTTAAGGATTACACTCAAAGAGTGAATACCTAAAAAATAAAAATATTTTTCATTTCTGCATCTTGATTTGTGAGTTTTATAGATCTGCTATGAGATGTTGGTATTGATTTCTGAATTTATTTGGATAAAAGCAAGGTAACTTACTCAAGCTTCTGAATTATAATTTTTTGTATAATGTATATATTACAGTCAATGTAATCTGTTTGGCAGTTGCATCCATATTTATTTAAATCACATTTGTATCATAAATGTATTTTATTCTATTTTAATTTCAATGTTCTTAATAACATGTTTACTGAATTTTTGCATACTTTTGCATATACTGCTATTTTACTCATAAATATAATTTCAGAAAATCAAGTTTTAGTTCAAGGGGCAAAAGGAAAATGCCCACCTCAGTTCTATAAGGTATGTATTTTCATAACTTGAAATTAAAATTATATTCTGAAATTAGTTTTTTTTTACAGTGTACTCAGTGTTGCAAATTTTTATAAATTCTTTAATATTAATTATTAGAAATTGCTTTTTTAATGAACCCTATTCTGATCCATTGATATCTTATTTTATAAAAATGTTATTTCTTATAAATCTTTTTTCTCATCAGCAGATGTAAACATAATTTAAATATGTATAATATATATATATATAAACTTAACTCCAGATATAAACTTGAACTGCTTGTAAATTAGCCATAAATTTTACAAATGGAAATAAATTGATCTAAAAACATAATTAACAATAAAAGATGAAATTTTGAGCTTCCTGGTTACTTTTTAATTTAAAAGAGTTTATCTCCAAGCATAGAAATTCACTGCAAAAATGAGCCAGATTTATTAAATCATCTTTAATATTCTCTAAAAGCAACAAAACAGATTCTGATGTCTTGTAGAAAATATAGCAACAGTTTTCTCTTATTTTTTACTCGTATTTCTCTCAGGTATGGGGACTTGTCCACATGAAATGACATACTTTTGAATTCTTCTTTAATTAAATTTCACTGTATAAACTTACAAATTTCAAAAACTTTTCTTTATGAATTTACTTTTACATCCAAACATCAGCTGCCGATATTAATGCTGCTTTTTAAATCCAGTTTACAGTTGCATGTTTTGGTTGCATATAATAATGTAAAATTATAGATATTATTAGGCATCCTAAGGATGGCATGAGAAAATTTAAGTCTTTGTGTAAATTTCTTGTATATTTTTTTATTGTTAAATAATTGTTGTTACTCTGAATATTAACTGTGCAATACTGTTTCTTTTATTTTAACGTAAGTGCTACTTTAATAGATGTGTTATTTTTAAAAATTTTTGTTAATTTTAATGTTTTAACTATTTCCATTATTCTGTTTATCACACAGAATCATATTTATTTTGCACATTCAATTAAAGTAGAAACATTTATAGTGCAGTGTTTGTTTTTTGAAAATATGTTTTGTTTTCAAAAGTACTCATAACATAAATTTTTCATTCAAACTGCATTATGCAATGTAGGCGTGAAGTTCACTACAAACAATGGGAGAAATAAGTTTTGTTAACAAAATAGTAAAAAAACTGAACTTGATAGCAGAGCACTCATTAATTTTTTTTAAACTGACATTTTGCTAGTCTAACCTCAGGCTCCCAATATAGAGGGTTAAAATGCGGGTATTTATTAGAGCCACACTACTTGGCAGCTTTTGTTTTCTGTTGTTTGTTTGATTGTTAGATTCATCTTCTTGGCATCAAGTATTGCAAATACATGGCTCTCTTGTTTCTGCAAGAAAGATTGTGCTCAAATAACCATCTCATAAAATTAAAATGTGAGAAGAAGCTGAAATGGCTATGTGGCCTGTACTCATGCCAGATAGGAAAACATGTGCAAACAGAAGCGTGGATCATATATATATTTCATTAGTGCTATAAAATTAATTTACTTATAGTGTCAGGAGTTAATTTCTTCTGAGTTTTGTGAATCAAAGTTTACTTCAACTGAATCACAATAGAGTGGTTGATTGGAATAATTGCATAAGAGAGGTATTTATCATTTCCTTGTTATGTCATCCTAACTAAAACTAGATGCTACAAAATTTGAATATTGATTAAAAACTTATTCTTTAAAAAATATATTGAAAGGTTTCAGATTTTAATATTCACCTAAAAAATTTCTTCCAAAGTTTGATATGGTTGATCAGCAAAAATTATGAATAGAGACGAATCCAGGTGGTGTAGCAAACCATTATCTTATATTAGATGAATATGCATTTAACTACTGATATATATTTTATATATGTATAAAAAGTGAAAAAATAGGTAATATAATTCTATAAAAATATTTAATGTTTGTTAATTAGATATATCAAGAATTAAACATATTTTCATTTAAATCAATTGGATTAAAAAGAGAAAAATGATAACAATATTTTTAAGAATTGCATCTATTGCTTTGATATAGTTTAGTTTGTTTATCAGTAGCAGGCAGTTTAAATATAAAAGAATAATATCTTATGTTTTTCCAAATGGCAGCAGACTCAAATGAAAAGTGAAACAATCCATTTACAGTGGACCATGTAAAAGCGGGTTTTGAGACTAGTGGCCCATTTGGATTAAAAAAAAAGAGTCTTGATAGTGTTTTCCCCCCACAATGGATATATAGGATTGAAATTATCTTTATTCTATTCCTGATAATTCCATTTCTTCTAGTATTAAGTCAAAGGCATTAGGATAGAAATAGGCTAAAATTTGCCAGTATATTGCCGTAAATGTGTGACAGGATTTCAGCGGAAAACTTCAGAATGTATGCTTATTGTTATTAAGTAAATTATATTTTTATTGATATCAGAATTTTATCTAATAACTTCCATCCCTGACAATAATCTTCTGAGTGCCATTTCTTTTTTGTATGTTTTTTGTTCCTAAAAGGTCTTAAAAAAAGCTTTTGGATTATTTTTTAAATAAAATATAATTCAAAATAAATATTTTTCAAAATAAACTTTGAACATTTATGAATTTTCACCCCTGGTCTTCTTTTTTTAGATAAAAATTTCAGTGCAGCACATTGTTTAAGAGATTTTTTAATCATGCGAATTGGGAATTGTTTCTGTTAGGAGATAATGTACCATTTTATTAATGTTTATTTATTCTCAAGTCCTAAAATAATATTTTACAGTATTCAAAATTTTAATACAAGTCATGCCTGATGAGAAAAATATTTCTTTGTATTTTTTATATTATTGAACTAAATTTAATATTAAAAGTTTTTATATATCATAAGGTCCTTCAGACATTAAATTACCATTTCTTGAAGGTTAGTGCAACTTTTGGTGATGGATATCGTGCCACTACTGTTTGTCCTGTTGTTGGTCCAAAAGCTGCTGAAAAAGGTGTGATAACTGCAAAATCTATTATTCAAAGGTTTGTATACTTTTTATGTGTCACGTAACAAATTCTTATTACTTTATGTGCAATATTTAAATGTTTCATCATTTGCAGATCTGAAAACATTTTCAAGCATTTAGGAATAGAAAAATTCAGACGAACCCATATTGAAGTTTTGGGAGCTGAAGAAAATTATGGCAAAAATGCTAAAAACAAGGTAAAAATTTTAGTATTTTTGCAGTTATTCATTGATTTTACCGTGCGTTGATAACAAAAAAAAAAAAAAAAAAAAAAAAAAAAAACAGTATTAATGCAGCATAGCAATCTTTCCAGCTGTCTTAGGATTTCAGTTGTTTATAGATATTGTAGTGAACATGTGTTTCTTGAAAGGATTTGGAAATAATGCAATGGTTATATGACTGATAAACATTGATCAAAAGAGATATATGAAAACTAAACTGTAATACAAAATATTAGAAGAAAAAAAAAATTATTTGCAACTTTATAGAGGCAAGAGAAATACATTTGATGCTACCAAAATATATATATATATATCAAACAAAATAACAAAAACATATCTATGTTGATTTGTAGGATGTATGATTCTTGTAAACTATACTCATAGTGCATTATGTGATATAGGTAAGTAAGATTAAGAAGTTCATGGTGTATTTTTGTTTGCTCCAATTGAAGAGCATACTCCATTGCAGTGTTGTCTTTTCATCACATCTCAAATATAAACAATGAACATGCCAGATGGATGTTTTTCGCAACTAATATCCAACATATGGAACTCATTTTATGCTTGCCTATTAGCACAACCACCTTGTGCAGTTTGGTGATTTTTTACAGAAGAAAAAGAATGATGATTTAAATTGCAAGAAATTTTTTATTGCAAGTATTAGAATAATTTGCTTTCGAACTAAGGGAATTTAAGATCATACAACATTTGATATATTATTGCATACATATTCTACATTTTAATTAGGTGTTCATTTCACAAAGGTAAAGCAATAAGCCTGCTCGCAAGTTGGTTCTTTTATCTATTGTTTTGGTGGAAATTTCTAAATAATTGGTTTTAAGAATGGATTGAGAGCAGTTGTTCCATTTGATGATTTTGTGGCAAAATACTATGTTCCTGCAGAAATTTTACTGCAATTTCTTCTACTGCAAGCAAATTCCACAAATGCTTATTTCAAAATTCAAAATAAACACATATAAAAATGGCAATGTTGCTTGTAAAACTCAAGGGGTATTATGTGTATTTGTGCTGATAGAGTTTGGCACTTGCTCAAAATTTAATGTCCTCTACTAAGGTGCTTGCTGTAAGTTCTGTTCACTCTTATCTTTCATGCCAAATATAAACCTCTAGTTATTTAGTCACTTACTAAATTTTATTTCGTGTGTAGGCACAAAAGATTACTATTTCCATATGTTCCCTGTGTTCTTCAAACATATTGTTAATTATACATTAACGCTGTTATGTTAGTGGTCTTTGGACAAACAAATGGTATTTTATTATGATGAAGGTAAATGGTATGTGTTAACGTAAATATTATATGTATACTGAGAATACCCATTGTAGTTAAGTGACATTTTGATGATGGATTTAATGATATACTAAAGGCAAAAAACAAACACATGGATACATTTAGTATGTCTCTTTCTTCCTTGCTGTAATCTTCTGAATACTATTTCTGGAATCTATTCTATGCTAAATTCTATTCTTCCCACAGCCCATAAGACCATTAACAATTATTCATCATCAAAATAATTAATAACAAGTCTGTTATGGTGTATTATCAGATTATTCCAGGAATAGTGTATTCTTTTAAAATAGGTTTTAAAGAAATAAAAAATGAGTAAGTTACTAATTTAATCAATGATGTATTTCCCATCTGAGTCAATAATATTCTTTCAGTGCTATAATAGGTTTTATGCCATTCCTAAAGAAATTGCTGGCTTACTGGAGAAAAAATCTTGGTCTGTTTTAAATGCCCCATGGGAATCATTTTTTTTTCCATGAATGAATTTTTTTAAGCTTCAAGCCACCAAAAAAATAAAAGAAAATTAGATTTTTTTTTTTTTTTTTTTTTTTTTTTTTTAAATCCTAATAGAGAATGTAGTGGGACTAACTATTGATCCCTGAGGAATACTCTGGCCCATTCTAAGTCTTCCAGAAATGCTGTCTAAATTTCTATCTAATATCTGGCATTTAAAAAGTCAGCAAGCCACAGCAAGACTTTGCCCATGATATTAAACTTGCTGTAAAGTTTGCAGAGCAGGTTGTTTTTCCACACCCTGTCAAAGGCTTTAGACAGGTCCAGAAGGGCAGCCACAGTGTGATTTGCAGGCCTAAGATTGACATTTAAGATTATTATTAAGATTTGGGCATCCTTGACCTTTGACAAATTTCTAAGATTTGGGCATCCCTGATCTTTTGATAAAAATATAAAACCTAATCCATCGTGTAATGGCCCCTTGTAAAGCGATACTGTTCAGGAAAAGTAGTTTATTTTGATCAAGGTAAAAAGTAAGTCTTTGTAGAATAATCCTCTTCATAAGCTTGCACAGTATGTTAGTTAAAGCTATTGGCCTAAAGCTGTTTGGATCATTGTCTTGTTTTCCATGTCTCCTAATAGGGATGACTAGGCCATCTTTCCAATCCCTAGGGAATTGTCTAACACTCCAAAAAGAAATTCTTTGCCCAAATGACTCAAATTGGCCAACATATATTTTTAAAAATCCATATCATGAAAAGCAATATCCAGTTCCTCATTGGTAAAATCTCTATTAAAAACTGTAATCTCACCAGGTTTACAACGATTTTTATGTATAAAATATCTAGCTGATTTAGCATTTAGTTTGTCTTGTGTGTTAAAAGAAAGTTAACTCTTCCTCTTATAATGTCTACCCAATATATTTGCAGCCTCACTGTCACTTCACAAAGATCCAAATCAGGGTGCAGAAATGTACTGGTCAAGTCAAAATGACTTGACTGAAAGTTGTATTATATCAGTATTCTTAGCCAATTTCAAAAGTTTAGAAACAGGAGTGTGAGAGTCAAGGTTTGCACATAAGTTATTCCTTCGTCTAACTTGAATTCAGAATACAAACGTTTAATATTATCATTAATCAGGTTTAAGGCTGACCTAATATCAGGAGAAAGAGAGGTCAGAAGTTTGCGATAAAGAGCATTTCTCTGTTGCAAAAGAGGAAAGAGGACTTCTGATTTATGAATAAAATTAGGCTTGTATTTTTTTCTATTGCCCCTGAAAATGGCCACCCCAGTTGGCCTTTAGTATAGAGTCTTTGAAATGTTGATTAGCTAACAGTCCAGCAACTGGTCAAACTTAACTCTCATAGCCAATGTACACAGTCCATTGATGTTGCATTGCAATATTCTCAAACAGCTCCTTCCAGATCCAGAAGAAATGGATGTAGATAATAGCTTATTTTTCAAACGGAGGCCTCTACTAACATTCTAAACGTGCCTCTTTTTATACTGTGTAACGGGTGAGGCAGTATGATTAAAATTTTCAAATCAACCAGTCAAGATGAAGGGAATAAAATTCAGCTTCAGAAAGTCCAAGACCTTGAGGCACCAAAGTTTAAAGTCTGACTTTGCCTGTGCTTACCTGGGCTATTGGAATGGTCTTCACACCTAGTGTGGCTCTACCAGGAGTATACACTCCCAGCGTACTTCGTCCATTCCACCTAGGGTCACTCCACCACCACAGTTAGGCAACATGGCAAAACTTAGAGAGAGTTTTAGACTGGTAAAGTATGATATATCTGATGCGCTTTTCTGTGGTCACTATTTCCTTGATTAACATTTCACCATTAACATAATAATTTGATATCTGCGTGGCTTCCAAACCAAAATTTATCTGAATGAAGCTAACTTTTCTCAGTTGTATTTATATATTTGTGTAAATTGCTTTACTTAAATGTGTTCGAATATACTATTTTAATTAGTAAGTCTTGTATGAAAAACAATACTGTCTATGGGATGATCTGATGTTTTAGACTTATGAGTAGTTCGAGTACTTTTCCGTTTTGCTGGAACAGACGATACAACTGATGCCAAACGGAATATCTTAGCTGGTAACCTTTTACACCTCATTTCCAAAACAAGTCGCAGCCATTTCTTATCAGATTGATTTTTTCTTTCAATACTGGCATACTATTACATAGAATTTTTACCAAATAGTTCAATGTTATGTCTTAAGGCCATTTGTGGTAATTAAGTCAATTAGGATGCAATCACACCACTCACCCGAAGGTGAAAATATAGAAAAAGGAAAGTAAAGGGTTAAATTCATCAATTTTAATGAAAATGCACTAGCGAAGTAAAGCACTGCGGTTTTACATAATTTCTGAGTAAGCTATTCATACGAATTGAAATAATTCTTGCATTTAGACTTCTATTCCATGTTAAGATTTAACTTGAAATTAATGTAGAGAATTATTGAGAGAATTAGATTTTTGTAGCATAGTTTACATGAGATGAGATCACTTGGGGTCACGTGATATGAACTGGCGAATCAGGATGTTGAACCATGAAAGCATAGTAAATTGTTAAATTAATGTCTTTTTACAAATTTATTGGCTTTTTACAAAATTTTAAACCATATTAAAATGTTTATGCCTTCAAAATAAAAAATTCTTAGAACTAACATTTGTTAACATCTTTTATGTGTATACTGTATGTTGTCACCAACAAATTCTGCTTGGCAAGATTTGCACCGGCGAAATGGAAAAGTACCAAAGTTCATTATATACACATCACCATGTATATAAATCATAAATTGACTATTATTTAAGTTGGACAGTAAGTTAAGCTGAGATAAATAAAACAAAGGACAACAAGTACACAACAATGCAAAATAAATACAAATAAATTCAAATGAATAAATGTAAATATTTACATAAAAATTTTAATAATGTGTAAGATATACTTTTGAATGTAATACTTTGGCCTGTCTTTTAATATTTAAGCAATTTTTACCGAAGCTGTTAAATTTTAGAAACAGTTTGTTTATTTATATATGCGGAACACTGTAAGTTAGAACTTTGATAAATCTGATTTCATTTTGTGTATTCACTGAGTGTCCTTAATTACTGTAAGGTTATATTCATTCAAACACATTTTGTGTACTGTTTCCCTGCAATATATTTTGACAGAGTTTGTAAATTCTTTGTCAAAATATATATATATATCAAGCATTAAAGCCATTAAAGCAATGAAAATAATACATCCTGTACTTCTTGGAATATACTTCATACTCCTTGGAGATTCAAACTTATTTAGTGAATGGGGAAGATATTAAGTCATCAACAAACTCTGACATAAAAGCACCTTTAAAATTAAAGAAGCATTAGAATTTGCCACTAGACCATGTTATAATAGAAACTTTTCTTTCATTCTCCCATATATGTGAACTTTGACCCTCAGAAATTCAGCAACCTTACACCAAGCAATCTTGCAAGAAATAATAATGAAAAAAGGGAACCTGATCAAGCCACTCAATCCAATTCCAGATGACAAAGCAGAGGCTGCCTGCAAAAGCTCCTAACTTATTAATATTTAAATGAGATTTTAGAGTGTTAATTAAGAACATTTTATTTCTTCTTAACTTCATTTTTAACCATGAGTTCCAGTTGAGTCTTCAACAATATATGCTTCTTTCATTGTTCAATTGTAATGTTTTTAACTCATAATTCTTATAGTTTTCATTTTAATAAATAAAACATGCATATGTATGTTATTATATCATCTTGCTTTCAGGATTCTCGTGAAGTGGTTATGTGGATAGCCGTCCACCATGATACGAAAGAGGCAATTGCTTTATTTTCTAAGGAAATTGCTGCAGCAGCAACTGGTGGAGGTAATAACAAGTGAAAAATTTTATTTGCAGTATAAAAAGATTGCACTTTCTAAATATTTTTAGCTTATGAAATCTGAACATTAAAAACTTATTTGCATAGTTCTTCTTTATATGTAGTAAGGGTCAGTTTGATCAATATATTCTAATTTAAATTAATTCTAATTTTATTCTAATTTAATTTAAATTAAAGGCTTCATCAAAAATTATATACTAAGGAAACTTTGAAAGGTAATTATTTCAAATTTCTGTATTAATTTATAAACACCATATTGAGGGATGTATTTTCATGGACAAGTTGATCCTGCATTTTTAATATATTCCAAGAAAAGAGAAGTTTTACTTACAGTTGAAAAATTTCACATGCCATTCATTGTCCTTTCCATAATAAATACAGATGTAGACTTTTTTTAATGTAATATCTTCTCTTTTTGTCATATTTTCTGGTAATAGCAAGATTTCAAGTTCCTTTTTCTCTCCAGATAATAAACATTTGTAGGATCAGCACTGAATATTATATGCATAAGAGTCATAACTTCAGATTGCACAAATACTCTATTGTTGATTCTATTGATCGTAAATTTGATTCTTATTATCTACCTTTCGACATTTCTGTTCTTTTCAACTTTCTCCACAACACATCTAATATCTTTAATTTTTTCAAAGGTATTTTATAGTTGAGAATAAAAATATTCAAACTTCAGTCTTTGATGATCTTGCATTTAAGCACTGGCAGCTCTTTAATTCAGAAAGACATGTTCAAATTATACTTTATAACCTCAAATAGATTTCAGTTATTTTGCAGCAAAATCCATTTTAAGAACTGTATTTGTAAAATAACAGTTTCTTAACAATACATATCACATAATTAAAACGTTAATTATCACAGTGGTCTCAATAGTGTGGTATGCAGACTGATACTTGAGAATAAGGCAAATAAGTAGGCTCACAAGCATTTGGGAGTGTATGATGGTGTATCACTTGAATCAAGTTTCTGTCATTGGTCACTATGTCTGGTTTCATTAGCATATAAGCAGAACATCATCAATGAATGAACATCTTACTACATACATGTGTGAAATAGCATTTTCTGCAATGATAATAATAATTAAAGCCGAATATATCATTAAATTAGAATTAGAATCAATTGAATTGCATTAAGAGAGGGCTTTTAAGCAGGTTTTACGATATTACTAAACCAGTATAATGGCATTTCTCACTTCGAATTTCAATTAAAAATGTAAATTTGTAATTTGATATAAATTGTTTAAACACTGCATATTGTTTAAAAATGAATAAATAGTTGGGGTATGATGTATAGTTATTTTCATTTTAGGGGTCTGTAATCAAAAATATTTCAAGATCACCGAGTTAGCATATATGAAAAGGTCTCATTAACATTTACTAATATTTTTTAATTAGCTGCTTTGTTATTGCAAAGCAGTTATAAGGCTTCTTCTTGTAAAAACAGCTTTTCTTTCTTCAGTTCATTTTTTAGGCATTGTTAAATTTGTATACATTAACTTAGGACAGCATTATTATATTGCATTAGTGTATAAAAGTAGCACTTATTGTATAAATATTGCTTATTTGTTAGCTATGCATTTTAATGTTTCATTTAAATAATATCTTTTTCGTACATGCAACCAATATTCATGATCAAACTTAAAATTTATTGTGTATAGTCTTATGCATATGTTTTATCAATCTTCTATCAGATTGTACATAGATTAAGTAATAATTGCTCTATTCTGCATGTAAATGCACCTCACCAAACTGATGTGTTATTTTGATAATTTCTAGCTATGTAACCCTTACACTGACCTGTAAATTGTCGTATCATGTAGCAAAATCCAGAGAACATCAACAACGTGTTTTGATTGATTGCAAAGTAATTATAAGGATGTACCTATGCAATATATAAGTTGTTATAGCATACTGAGGTGCAACGTTGCCAAATTCAAGTTTTCTCTAAGTTTAGGGAAGTTGCGCACAATCTGGCAATACAGGAATTTAGACATTGTAAGATACTCTCGATACCCAATGTTTCTAGAAAGCACAAGGTGTAGAAAACTGGTATATACACAGCTGGGTGGTTGTCAGAGGATCAGTATTGAACATACGAGCAAAGTGCAAAGAGCTTTCGAATAATGATAATGTTGTAGTAGTGCTATTATTTTTCACCATCTGTAAATGATATCGTTACGATCTTGTCCGAACAAACTGAACAATTTCTGTTATGTATGTGATGAAGTGATGCTGAAAATTCAACAGCAGACTGTGAACCTATTTGTAAGAAAAGCCTCCAAGTTATATTTTGGGTGCAAAGTTGGCGATGAAGACAAAAATTGGGCTCCCAAAATTTGCTGCCACACTTGCTGAAGAAATGTAACAGTATGGGATACTCACAAATAAAGTTTGGAGTGTCAATGATTTGGTGAGAACCTCAGAATCATGTTGAGGATTTGAGACAACAAAAATCCTGGGTTTTTTCTACTAAAAGCAAGCATAAATTTGAATATCTGAATAGTTACTTAGCCATGAGACCTGACTTCATGTTGCTTCTAGCATACCTATCTTTAAGCCTCCAGACAAATATGGAATCATTTGCACTAGATGATTTTGAGCCAAAAGCCACTCCAGGTTGTAATAGCAGTAGTAAACAGCCACATTTTATATCTCAAAAGGAAGAGCTCAGTAATCTTATTCGTAATTTGCATCTTACCAAAACAAAGGCTCAACTGCTTGTATCTTGTTTACTGTAGTAGAATCTCTTACAAAAAGGAGTGAAATTTTCCATGTTTTGGAAAAGGCAGTCTTTCCTGGTAGTATTTTTCTCAATGGAAAATGCTTAGTTTACTGTCATGATATTCCAGGTTAAATGAAAGAACTGGACCTTTCCCATAAACTTGCCAAGTGGCAACTGTTGACTCTTTGAAGACAAGTCTAGAGGCAGTTTTATTGTTTAATGGAAATGAACAACCAATTTATTCTCATGGGTCATGCTGTAAATATGAACTAAAGGTACGAGAGCATGCATTTTCAAAGATTATAATATAATATCTGGGTTGATATAAAAGTTGTTGCACTACTTACAGGACTCCAGAGTCACTATACCAGTCATTGTTTTTTATGTGTATGGGACAGCAGAGCCAGAAACTAACATTTTGTCATTAAGGAATGGATGCTACATGAAAACATCATGCCTGGTATGAAAAAATCCTCAGTGAGCCCTTAGTAGAGCAGCAGAAATGCCTGGTATGAAAAAATCCTCAATGAGCCCTTAGTAGAGCGGCAAAAAATTTATTTATCTCCTCTGCACATAAAACTCAGGCTTATAAAAATTTTGTTAAAGCTTTAAATAGAAAAGAAGGAAATGCTTTTCTTTATTTGAGATGGAAATTCGTGTGTAAAAGAGAAGCAAGCACGTAAAAGAAGGACTGTTCGTTAGGCTGCAGATATGAGAACTTTTAAAGATGAAAATTTTGAAATTACACTTTCAAGAAAATAGCCTTCAAAAACATATGTAGCAGCTTTTTAGGTAACAAGAAATCAGAGAGCTACAAAGATCTAGTTGAAGAACTTATCCAATCTTACAAGAGATTAGGTTGCAACATGTCACTTAAGCTGCATTTTCTTCATTCCCATTTGGAATTCTTCCATGACAATTTAGTTGCAGTTTCAGATGAACAGAGCAAAAGATTTCACTAGCAAATTGCTCAAATGGAGAACTGTATAGTGGAAAATTGAACCTCAAACATATTAGCGGACTACTGTTGGACCCTCAAATGTGAAACCAACCCCAGTGGATATAAACACAAAAAGACAACAAAATAATATATTTGATTCTATTATACTTTTTTCAATCTTTGAAAATTCACTAGATTGCTTATGGTTTGTTTTTCTCATATTTGATATTCTTCTTCCCTTCTCTTAAAACTGATGTGTTATAGGTAAAAAAGGAGCTCATATTAGCATTCAGCACATTACAACAGACACAAAAAAATCTCCAAAAAATTCCAAAATGTAGAACAGTGTATTAAGAATTTAACATAATATAACAAGAAAAGAAGTATGTAGAGAGAGTGAAGCTTTGTCAGAAAAATAAGATTATAGAGACAAGTCTATACAACATTGAAGTAAATGGCTATCTCACTAATTCACAAAATTGGCGAAATATTGCTAAGCTGGTGATGGTTTTGGTGACTAATTTTTCTTGCAAAATTTGGTAACAAATTGCCAAGTTGCCAAAATTAGCAAATATTTGGCAACATTTTGCTTTGGTTCCTGTATAACTGTAATTGATCCTTATAGGTATATGTAACTGTATATAGCCCTTATATGTAACTTTAACCTTATATGCCTTCCAGTAATTTTGAGAAATGGAAGGTAGTAGAGATTTCTCAGTGTCTGGAGGAAAACTATAAAAGCCTGGAGAGAGCATGAACTCTCAGTTTCTTAGTTCAAAATAGATTTCGGAGTATTGAGAGATCTCTGAGCTTCACTTTGTAGATGTGCTTTGCATTGCCTTTTGCTTACATTCATAGTAATCATAAGTGGTAACTACTGATTGTGCTCTGTCGTATTGAGAAGAGCTATATGAGTACTTTTGTGGAAAGTTCCTGAATTGTAAATTGTTTCTTTTGGAAAAAATAAATTTTATCAAGCTGTCATCGGTTCTGTGTGTATTCAGTCCATTATGAACTCATATGCACATAACATTATGCTGACAATTTGCTTGAGGTTTGATTCTCTGTGACTCCTAGGGTTTGGTTATAAGTTTTCTTCTTGTGTAGCACTAAATAAAAAAAAGTCTGCTGTGAAGCCTATAAGCCCTTTTGGCAAACTGTTCTCAGTTCAACAATTTGCCGAAAGGGTTCTTAGTTTTCTCAGCGCAACATTCCTCTTTTGGCAAATTGTTCTCGGTGCTTTACTGTATTAAACAAGTAGTTTAAGCTAAAATATAAGAAGCTTACATTTATTCACTTTCAGAACTGCTTTAGAATCTACTTTTTTTTCCTTCTTTGGATTTTTTTTCCTAAGCATTAAAAACGTAAAATCTAAATTAATAGTCAGAAATTGTATACTTGCTAGTGACCCAACTTTGCACTTAAAAATACGTTTTATGTAAAAAATAAATTGCTAAAAATCACGAAATTTCTTGTTGCATTAAACAAAATATGTAGAAGTATTAACATCTCATAAAATGATAAAAATTTGTTTCCTTTGTTGATTATTTTCAATTATGATCTGTATGCTCATTGTATCCCAAGATATTAATTAATTCCCTCGTCATATGAATTAAAACTGTATGTTAAAAATATTAATTCAGTATTCTTTTTTCAGTACCTTAATATTTACAGCCTTTTAAATTAATTTTTAAAATTCATATTTTTATTTTATATTTACAGCTCCAGGATTTACAACTTTGATTGGAGGCAGACCTAAGCCGCAAGTACTCTTTAACACTCTAAATGTTATTTTTCTATACCAGTTATGCAAGTAATATTAATTATTTTTTTATATTTACTTTATCTTTTTTATTGTACCATAGATCACCTATACTAAAGCTGTATTCATTTCTATATCCAAAAGATAAAGTTCAGGTTAGTACTTTCTGTAACTTTTATTTAAAAGTTGCTGAGTGTATTGATTTATTAAATCATTTTTTAAAGTTTACCAAAATCGCTTCAATTTTTTTTAGATTAAAGTATCTTATGAAGGAAAAACAGAAACTTATGTTCCTGAGATTGTAAAGAATGCTCCCGAGTATAAAGCCAATGAGTTTATAAAAGGACCATTGTTACAAGGAACTCATACATACCGTGTAGGAGAACTTGCATACACTAGAAGTGGTGACAAAGGAGATTCATGCAATATAGGTTAGATTAAAAATAATATATAGTTAATAATTCTTTATGAAATCTTCTGTAAATTTCTCAAAAATCTTAGCCTTAGATAAGTATGAAGTTAATGAATTACTGGAATATGGCCAGGCAAAAAGATAAATAATGCAATTTGTAAAACTTATTCATATTTCAAGCAAATGCATGTATCATTGAGTGTACTTCTAGTGATCCTGTATAAAAATATTAGTGTAAAATTAACAGAACATAATGGAATAGTATGTCGTATTAGTTTTGTGAAAAATACTAATTTGACATAGTACATATACCATATTTTCTCTCAGTATATATCTAATGAACATTGCAAATGAAACATATAAGGAATCTATGTAATAAAAATAATTTATTTCATCATTAATTTCGATGCTTAAATGATATATACTGTATATCTTTAGGTTGAGTTAATTAAAATTTTATAGTATGCATATTTTTTTATATTTAATGTACTTGTCTTCTCAAATTTTTTTAAAGTAAAACCTCAGTTGGTACACTGCATGGAAAAAAAATGGGCTAGTTCTATATCTCCCGTTCTACTGTGTCGATTGACAAAATTCAAATTACATTTTTCATGTCTTGAAAGCGTAACTTAGGATATATATTAGATTTATATATAGCCATTGATCTATAATAGGTATTTTGACACAAAATCGGACATTTTCTGAAACGGCATGCAATTTGTTTTCCATATTTCGATTCTTCGTCTCAAATTATGCCTAAATAGTAAATTTTGTAAAATTTGGTGCTAAATTTATGAAGAAATTCAAAAATTTACCTTGGCACTTTTTTTTTTTTTTTTTTTTTTTTAATTTTTCAGTTTCAGCCAAGAATAATTCACTTGGCGAATATCTTAATTTATAGCAAACTATTTTCCTTTCCTTTCCCTTGCCCACGAGCAGAAAAAAGCCATTGTTCATACCTATTATAGATCAATGGCTATATAGATCAATGGCTAACAAAGTGCGTAAACCACATTTTCGTTATTATCACTTATAATAAATACGCCAAATTTCAAAACTCGCCAAAATGTAAACTCATGTATATCTTAGGAAATTTTGAATAAAAAACTGTAATTTTTTGTAGGTATGCTTAGAAATGCATCTATCTTAAAATGATAGCAAAACTTTTACAGGTTATAGTCCAAAATGTTTTTTGAAAAATTTTTAAAAATCATTAAAAAATACAAATTTAAAAAATAAATCATAAAATGTAGGCAAATTTTATTTGGAATGAACCTAAATTTCAAAATATGAAATAATGAATCAAATATGTTTAATAAAAAAAGAGATATTAATAAATATATATCAATTTCAGTTAACATTGAGCTAAAATGTTGGAGCTAATTTTTTAAAAATGACTCCTGCGATTTTTACAAAACTTGGCAGTTTGGCATAGTCTGAGTCATAGAGTCGAAATATGGAAAAAATTGTCATGTTATTTCAGTCCGATTTTGTGTCAAAATACTTGTATTAGAACAATGCTATATATAAATCTAATACATATCTTAAATTGTGCTTTCAAAACATGAAAATTGAAAGTTGAATTTCATCCATCGACCCATTAGAACAGGAGATATAGAACTGCCCCCTTTTTTGTGTGGGTGTGGGTGTGCAGTGTACATACTTAGGAGGTATGTGAAGTGCTACCCAAAGTCAGAAATTAGTGTGAATGCCTTTGAGATACTTAGAATTTATTGTTACCATGCTTATAAACTAATGTTCTGCTTATCAGTATTTAAAGTTTAATTATTTCCTTCCTGTGACTTCATTTTGATTATTTTTTATATTTTATGATTTTTGAATACATGAAAATATATAATGTGAAAGAGGTGTATTAAATTTTGCTACAAGCTTAGTAAAATTATTGCAGAAGCTATCAATCTATTTTCAGTAGCATAGAACTGTCTCTTCTTTTGTTACAAAATAAATTCTGTTTCCTGTGACTTGTTTCCAAAAGTTAAAATTAAAAAAGAAAATTTTAACACCTTAAATGAGATTCAAGAGTAATCATATAATAGAATAGGTAACCATAACATAAGTGGTGGAGATTTTTATAAGATTTTAGTTTAAGTTATGTTGTAATATACAAGGTAACCAAAAATGTTCTTTCTGTTTTGAACAGTCAGGGGAAAAAAAGTCATAAAACAAATAATAATCAAATCCTCAAAGTAATCACCATCGGCATCCAGTGCCTTTTGCCAATGAGTGGCTAGCTATACGATGCCATCGTCGTAAAAATCAGGAGTCTCAGGCGCAAAGAAATCCGTGAGGGCCTTTTCAAGATCTGGCAAGTTGTTAAAGGATTTCCCCTGAAGATGGCTGTCCAGGGAATGGAAAAGGTGGTAGTTTTTTGGCGCAAGGTCTGGGGAGTATGGTATATGGGGTAGTGTCTCCCAGCCCAGTCCCTGCCTCCTGAGTCACATGTCACCCTCACATTGTCATGGAGGTGGAGTATACCCTCCAATGCTGGCTCTTTATGCATCACTGCCTGATGCACACATTCCAGCTGCTGTGAGTACAGGTCTGCCGTGATGGTTTGGCCCACTGGCAGGAGCTCATAGTGCATCACTTGGCATCCAAGTCCACCAGATATAGAACATGATCGTGCGTAGGTGGAGAGGTCTCACAGTGTGAGGCACAGGGTCCCCTGGTGACAACCAATGTCTGGAAGTATCATACTGGACTCACTTTTCATCACTGGTGAGTACTCAATCAAATATGGATGCATTACGGTGCTGAGTAAGCAATGACAAACAAGCATCGACATGCTGGTGCTTGTTTGCATCGGACAGTGAGTGGAGTACCCACTTGCTCAGCTTGTATGCCTTTCCTATGCGCTGCAAATGGAGTCTGGTTGTTTCATCAGATACATGGAAGTATGCAGCAAGCTCGCCACATGTTTGGCTACTGTCACTCTCTATGGCTGCTTTCAGGGCCTCATCGTCCAGTGCTTGTAGCAGACCACTGTGTGGTGCATCACTAAGAGACATATCCCCTGACCTGAACTTCTGGAACCATTGCCTAGCAATTCAATTGTTAACGGCATCATCCCCAAAGGCCTAGCAAATTCACAGACTTGATTCTGCTGCTGACAGGCCCACTGTAAAATCATACAGCAAACAACTCTGAACAATTGCGTTTGACACGTCAGTTTCATTCAGTTGCTGTGTGAGTTATGTTTGAAGTACCAATGCAACGCTCTTTTATACTCTTGGTCAATGTCCAGACTCCTATCCTAACCACTTCATTGCCAGGTTTGGCAACTGTTTTTATGTTGGGCCTTCCAATGTTATATCAGAAATGGCAAGAACTTTTTTGGTTTCGTTGTACATAAAGCCTGAAATTGAGTGTCTGTCTCAAATAAATTTATTGAAATTTTATATAACATAATTCATTTGCTGACCTTAAGTATATTTACAGTTATTATATGTAGTCCAGAAACATTTAAATTTATACATACATAAATGGTGATGTTTTATCGCCATTAGATTCCATCAGAAGGTCGTCAGAAAAGCCTAAGAATCCCAAAACTTCAGCTGATAGTTAAAACCAACTTTATTGTTTGATTCAGCAACATCTGTCTATAAGTCTCTCCTTCAAATGTCATCTTTCTAACTAGGCAGTAAAGTCTCTACAAGTTATAACACAGAGAACCACCACCAATTCATTGCATCTTTCTCCGGGGTTCGTACGGTCCTTAAAAGTCCTTAAATTTTTCAAAAATGATTTTTGGTCCTTAAAAGTACTTAATTTTGGTCAAAATGAATAAACGGTCCTTAATTTTGCTCATTTGACATTTCTTGTCATTTCTAATGATTGCCATTCTAAGTGTGAATTGCGATTTCTCATGAATATGGAATTAAAATTACACGGCTCTTAACCAATCTGTTGGCGGATTTGCATTGCAAACGATTAAAAAAAACAATTAGCTACCCGAACGAAAGTATCGGTGTCTGATTGGCTATTCACGCAATCTTTCGAAACAGGTGTTATCCATAAATTTAGGCAGACTTGTGACGAAAGCGTGAAGCTGGAAGTTCTTTAAGAGGCGAAAGTGATGATGAAGGTGCTCGAGAAAAAAAAGGGGGGGGAGATTCTGAAAATATATGCTAAAATTAGAACAATCCCAACCTGGAAAGCCACAAACCCTCTGACGCCAATAGGAACGAGATGCCTGGAAAGTGCATTTTCAATAAACTGTGGCTTCATCAAACTGACTACAAAGACTGGATATTGATGGATGGCAATCCTTATAAAGCTAAATGTGGTCTTTGAAACAAATTGAAATTTCTAGAATGGGAGAGTCAGCACTGAAAATTCACATGAAAGCTAAGTTTTGTTTTATCATTTCAATTTGTTTTTACACGGTTTTGCTTAGATTAATTTCTGTGTTTGTTTGAAGTAAGCCATAAATTAATTTTTGATCACCTTCTACGGAGTTTATTCTCTTTTGCACATATATGTATGGGATATCGGGATTATGAGTTTATTTCTGCAGAGGGTCTGTTATCGATTTCGCGGGAAATCTGTTGGCTCCATTTCGATTTTAGGTCGCCAAGGGCAAATTCGGTAACGCTAGCCAAAAAAAAGTGAAGTTCGGAAATACGTTTTGAAGCTTCAATAGACAATTAAGTATTTGGTTTAATCCTATGCACAAGGTATCCATTGCATAAGGGATTTGGCTACTTTTGGCGACTTTATGATGAGCATTAAACGGGACATATACGATGAGTAGTTAAACGGGTCATTTTGATGTTGGCGATAATTTTCAAAATGCTGCACCGTATACTAGAATTTTATGAAGTATTTTTATAAAAGGAATACTGCTTTCAGAAGAATGTTATAGAATTTTAATATCGCATCAGTTATCCAAATAGTTGGTCGATATAAAATTTCATTGTGATATTGATTGAAATTATCTTTTCTTATTAAGCTAATTTCTCCTTTTTATAACTAGAAATTAAAATAAAAGCTAAATCCTGAATAAAAAGTCAGTGTTGAAATGATGAAATGATAAGGAGAAAATAAAAGAAACGGAAGATTAATAAATTAAAAGGAAATTACCGATAAGCGGAATGGTTGCTACGCGGAAAAAACGTGTTCATGGTATTGCCAATATTGCATTCTTATGGCAATTTTAGCGATGTGACGGAATCTCTGCAGGAATGCTTGCCTAGAATATTTCGCGATGTCTCAATTTTTTTATCGATATAGTACATTTTTTAAGTGTTAAAATATAATGCATAAGAAAAATTTATACATTTTTGTTTAACAATAAAACCAATTATTGCAGAATTTTTATCTTTGCTCCATCAACTGATAGATAAAGAAATAATATTTTAATTAAAATTTTCTGGTGTGAAGTTCTGCTTTTACCGATGGTTGCAAAATGTCCCAGCAGTTGAAAGAGCCATTGAAATGTGGGATGACTTGCTACTATACATTATAAAAGTTGAAATGGGGCAGTTTAAAAAAATTCATTGAAATCCTTCTCAAATATTTTGGAGGCAACTAAGGATAAAACATTTCTTATAAAATTAAATTTTTTCAAAATATTTTTGCCTTTCCTTGAATATTATCAAAGCGATAAACCACTTATTCCCTTTTTTGCTGAAGATATCTTAAAACTTGTAAATGATTGCTTTTAGCACTTTACAATTTTGAAACTAGAATATTCAAAAATAACTAAAGCAGAAAATCTTTATAAATTTAATTTTAATGATCCAAATTGTTATAGTGATAAAAGTAAAGTTTATTTGGGATTCATTGCTGAGCAGTTAATGAATAATAAATGCCGCAAGAAAGACATTTCACAAGCTGCAAGTTTTGCATTGAAACAAGGTCAACAATGTGTCTTAACAATGGTACAACACTTAATGCCTAAATGTCCAATAAATTATTCTCTTATTCGAAATGTATCTTGTATAGACCCACAGTTGATGGCTAAAAGTACAGAAAAGCCCAGAACAAAATGAAAATAGTTCTAACAGTATTAATGCGGAATAAAGGTGTTTTACAAGATAATTGTGATGAAATTATGCTGCAGTTTGGAGAGATTCTAGACAAATTTACATGAATTTTCTACTTTTGATCCTCAAAATCTATCTCTTGACACATTTCTCATTTCTTATTTTCATGATTTTCACTATTCTAAAGTATGGAAAATAGTGAAAATGATTCTTATCTTGTCACATGGAGGCCTCTGTGGAACTTCTGGCTTCTCTGTAAATAAAGCAATTGAAATTGAAAATTTAAGTGACTCATCATACATTTCTCAACGCACAGTATTTGATAACATAAAATTTTCTGGAGGTATTCTTAATATCAAAATTAATAAAGAAATGAGATCAGCAGCAGCTTCAATAGGTGCTTTTAGCAGATGAAGCCGAGACCAGCAGGAACATTGATTTCTTTATCAAAGCAAATGAACTTAGAAGAATAGCTAAAGAAAAGGAAATGGACATAAATAAATTAGATGTTAAAATATCTGAAAAAATTTCAGATTTTAAAAAAGTATAAATGTTTTGTATCTTTTATTGTATAGTTTATTATTATAGTATCGTTCAAAAAAACCAAAGAAATAAATTGTATGTTTACAAATCTGTTATTTTAATCTGCAAAATATTCTTACATTGCAATTATAGTAGTAGTTGACTGTGTTTAAATAAATATCAAATAAGTTAAATAATAATTATGTAAATCTCTAAAATATCTGTGGCTGTTATTAGTGTAAAATACACTTATACATGTTTTTCAAGAAATTATGTTCTTAATTTAATGTTATCTACTTCATAACTTGTAGGGAGTTAGTTTAATTTTTAAAATTGTTTTATGTTAAGTATAAAATTGAATTTAATAATAGTGCATAATACACACTTCTGTTAGTTTCTTAAATGGATAATTGCTTTATTCTTTTTTTTTTTTTTTTTCCTGATAGGTCCTTATTTTTTCTTTGATGGTCCTTAAAAGTCCTTAATTTTCATATAAGGAAATGTGTACGAATCCTGTTTCTCCAAGTCATCTTATGTTAAGAAATAAATAATAAATGGATTATTGTGAATAAAAGAAATTTAATTCAAAACTCATAAAATTTAATATGGTTTTTAACTATAAACTGTGCTAGGTGCCAAAAAAAAAAAAAAAAAAAAAAAAGAGAGGATTACTGACAAAAAAAGGTGTTCAGCTTATGGCTCTTGCAGTTTAGGTAGTCCATAAACGATATTCTAATGTTGATGGCTAACATTTATTTGATAATATGTACAACAAATCTTGATAATTGCACATGCTTGCATTGACATTCTGTGTCACATTTTGTGATAATATTTATCATTCTTGAAATCACTCAGATCAAAAGTGAGAAAGAGGATGAAAGTTACTGTAACTGATAGTGTCTTCTATGTCTTCTATTCCTTCTATGTCTTGTAGATGCTGTTATGTAATCAAATTTGTTCTAGCAGATTATTGCATATGAACAATTGTTTTAATCTCTTTCTCTCTCTATATATATATATATTGTTTCATAAGAAACTAATAGTAAAGTTAAATCACTAATTAAAGAATTAATAGTTATTTATATATATATATATAACAAGCACATGTTGTGCAGGCAAACATTATCATCGAGAAATGTGAAACTTGCATTAATGAATGGATATAAAAGTAATCAATTTATCTCAATACCAATTAGCAGTTGCTGATCCTCTGGAAAATTTACTCATTGTACTTGCTATTCCTGCCAACATTGGGCCCACCAGTGTCTGAGCAATTAATATCAATGTATGCTGGTAGTTTAAATTGCCATTATTGGAAATAATTTAAATTAGCCTAACTTTATAATTGTCATTTTCCAAGGTTTTTGTTGCTTGATACCACGTTTAATGTTCTGTCTATAGCAAAAAACATCAAAAACTGTGCTGGGAGTTAAAATCTGTAACAAAATGCTGTTTATTAAGGTAATTATTGGCACTGCACACAGGCTAACTCTGTTTTTATACTGGAGCAAGTGAAGAGACATAAATATCTGGTCTCCTTTTATACAGTCAGTTATTTTGAAGTATACTAGATACATTTTGCTAATGTTACTTATCTTGTTGTCACAGTACTTACAGAAAGTACAGAAAGCGAAGTCATTAGCTATAAATATATCATTCAGTCACTAGCTAAGATATCCAGATCTAAATCTTCTGGAAATCATCTCCCTGATCCCTTTTGACTCTAATTTGAGATCTCTAGATTATGCTATTATGCACTTCAAGTTGTCTCACAGTATCAGTCAGTGGACCTTAGACCAGTTTTCAGCATTCGTAGAGCCATATAGTGAATTTTCTCATTTCTTAAGCTTACTGGTATTCATTCAATAAAAATGTTTCCTATTAGAAAGAGAAGCATAAGAGTGTAAAATATAAAACTTTGTAAAAAACAACTTCAGATTGTCATAGATTCTGAATAATTAAACTGTCGATTTTGAGGGTGATCTAATGTAGATCCCTCATCTTTAAGAGCAAAATAGTTTTGGGGTAAAATTTTTCATTTAAAATCTATAACTCTGCAACATTTGCCTCTGAAGAAGATGAAACTATATCAGATCACCCTATAAATTGATAACATTTTATTTAAAATCTACACCAGTCTAAAGATTACTTTTTTTGTGTAATTTTATATAGCTGTCTTATTTCATACAAAACTCAAAACATCATAACTTTGGAATAAATTGGAATGAGCTTTCTTTCAAAATTGTCTTCAGTAATAGAATTACTGTTTATGTAATTTCTTTTAATGAGTGCCATGTTCATACCCAGCCAATAAATTTGATATAATAATTCTGAATATTTAACTTTATGCTTTTTATTAAAAAATTGTATTTTTTCCCATTAATTGCTGCTTACTTGTTAGATATCTACATGTAACTCATATTATTGTTGCACTATTTCCTTTTTTCTTAGGAGTAATTGCTCGACATCCATCATTTTTGCCCTATCTTGAAGATCAGCTAACATCTAAAACAGTGGCAACATACTTTGAGCATTTATTTAGCAATGGCCATACTGTTGAAAGGTAAAAAGATGTAAAGCTTGAGACATATTTTCTTAATTTGTATTTACTTGTCAAAGATGAAATAGTGTTAAAACAGTAATAAAATTATTTATCATGTGTAGTCTTTAAATAAAAAAAAATGTATCAAAGCAACATAATTCTAAATACTATTATTCGTACTAAATGTGAGGCATTTTAGTGAAGGTAGAACTTTTTTATATGATTAAAGCTATTTATTAAAAAATGTTACAAGTTCTCTTATATTTTAAGATAGTTTAAATAGTTGAGTTATAAATAATCAGAGCACCGGAAGTTAATATTGTTAACTATTATTGGTACTAGCCAATTTGCATTGCCATCTGCCTAAAATAATTATGATAAACAAAGGAAAAATATTTAATGGTTTTAATAAATCCAGCTAATGTAATTTCATAGGTCCACCTAGTAATTAATAATTGCTGCCCGGCCGATATAGTGGTTAGTGATGCTGGCTACCGTACCTAGGGGCCCATTGTCAAATCCTCGAAAAAGCATGGATGTTTGTTAAGCACATAATGTCTATGCAGTAAAGGGACATTTAATATAAACTGCCAGCCGAAAGTGCTCTTGAGAAGTTGGTGGTAGGGAAAGAGGAGTGAGAGACCCTTGAACCACTTTCCAGCGTGTTCTCCCTCGAATTGGGGTAGAATTGCATAGTTAGTGTGATGGGACTATACCTTTACAACTTATGGTTAATATCTGCTATCTTGAATATGAAAAAAAAATTTAATGTCTTGCATTTCTGAATGACATACTGCACTGCCCTGTGAAAGATAAAACTTTATTTAATTTGATGCAGTGGTAGCACATTTCTTTTAAATTGCTATTGATTAAATTTAAAAGACAAATATAGTACATTCTGCCAAGTGACAACATACTTCTTTTATATCACTGAGTTTTCTGATTAAATTTGCAGCATAAATATCGTACACTTTGAAGAACAATAACAGTTTTTAAAGTTAAGTTTTTAAATTCCTGAGATTTAAATTAAAAGTTTATTGAATTTGCATAAAATACAAGATAAATTTTAAAAATTCAAAATTTGGGTTTTGAAGTGCTCATGTTTGCATGGATGACTATGTGTGCTGTAGGTGTCTCCATTTTCCACAATGTGAGGACTATCTATGCTTACGTACAGATTCATCATTATCTATTATTATAAATAATCATATAGGAAAATGTATTCATGTATAAATGCTGACTAGCTCCTTGCAAGGCCAGCCTTCAGTCTATTATGCATAATTTGTTCACAATTAGGCTTCCATGCACTCATTATCTAGTGCAGGACTGGATATATCGTGGCTCTAGGTGTCATTGTCTTGTGACAGTGAGACAAAACTTACTGTCACTTACAGATTTTTCATTTTATAATAATAGATATTGAAATTATATATTTAATAACTATATATTAATGATCCATCATAATATTATTCTCCATTGTTGAGGTATTGCTGTGCCAGTTACCCCAAACTGCATCTACCAATGTTTCCTATGCAAGATTGCCACAACGTATTTTTCTATGAAATGTCTTTTAAAGAACAGTTGTTAACCAAGATTAAAAAAAAAAAAAAAAAAAAAAATTTTAAAGAATTCTCTATTTATTTTTCCTTGCTGAATAATAAAAAAAAAAAAAAAAAAATTTTTAAAGATTTTTTGCTAAATTCTCTTTTATTTTTCCTTGCTTACTCAAGCTTGAAATTCTGCTGTGTAACTCATTTCTCTCATCATTACTATTGTTATGCAGGAATGTTTTTTGAGTTAAAAAATTGAAAAAAAGGTATAAACGTTTTGAAGGATTCTGATTTGAATGTTATAAAATTTGTCTTTGTAAGTATAAGGTTCTAAATCAGTGTTCAAGTATACTTTATTAAAAGTGCATTATATTTATGAAAGTGGATGTTTTAAAATTACTCAAATTTTTGATTGAAATAGTATTGTGTTTACTGAATATATTAATTTTCAGTGAAAGAGCTGTATATTTATTATTCACTTTTAAAAATTTTGTAGTGTGTTATGATTATTCAGTCTTTTTAATTGAATATGTATTTTGTTACATATTAATCATCAGTTATTCATGTCATATTTAAGTAAATATTTTTTCTTTCCTTTTGCATGCACTCATACTAAAAACATTGTTTCATAAATAAAATATTCTGAAAAAAAAAATTTATAACGTATATATTAAAATGTTTGTATTACTTGCCACATGATTCTTATATTCTTGGAAAATTTTGAAAAACAGAATTCTCTTGTTATTTAATGATTCTAGATCATCAACAGCTTTGTAAAACAATAGATATTTTTGTTACATTTGAAAAAAAAAATCATCTTAATTTAAAAAATATGACAATCTGGACTTTTATTGTGCAGATTAGGGAATGGAACTGTTGCCACCAAATGTTAGAGTCCTGCATTATATTTGAAAAAATTAAATAATGAAAAATCTGCATAAATGTATGTATATTTCTCACATTGTGATAAAATAATGGTACATAGAGCCATAGAATTTTGAATGACGTAATACTCTTACAAATATTTGCATGTGAAAGACCAAATTTGAAATTTGGAATTTGTTTTGTTACCAATTTCATATTTTTGTAAAGCTTTAAAAAATTTTTGATTAACAAACTTAAGGATTTCACAGCGAGCAATGGGGAGAGGGGGAAGAACCTTTTTATCTCCAGCACACAGAATTGTGTATCGGAAATTCTAAAGATATGCCCATTTTAAAATTATTTTGCAACATTGCTATTGAACTGAATTTTATGTTTTAAGTACAAAGAACATGATATTTGATAAGTAGAGGTAACACACAAAACATTCAAAAAACGCCCCTTTGGATGTAATTTAAAATCTGAAATCTTTCAGATTTTTTTTTTTTTTTAAAGAGCCCAAAGGGGCAGTTTGCCCAGAAGGGCTATTAATTTTGTTTTAACATTTTGCATTAATTCACTATCCAAATTGTTGCCAACAAATATTAGAGCCCTGCATTATATCTAAAGAAATTAAATAATGAAGAATCTTCATGAATTTATGTATGTTTCTCGCACTGTGAAAAAACAACAATATCTAGAGACATCAAATTTTGAAAAACATAGTCCTCCATTCGAATATGGGCATCTTTAAGCCTGAATTTGGAATTTGATTTATTACCTATTTCATATTAAAAAGAATATTTGATTAATAAATTTAACGATTTCAAAGCAAGCAATTGCAACACTGTACGGAGGAAAAAAACATTTTTATCTCCAGCATGCGAGACTGTGTATATGGATATGCTGTTGTAAATATTTTTTCCTATTGCTGTGGAATTGAATTTTATGGTTTAAGTACGAAGAACATGATATTTGATAAGTAAAGGTAACACACAAAATGTTAAAAAAAAATATTAAAAAATTTTTTTAAAAAATAACCGCTTATTTGGGTTTAATATAAAAGCTGAAAGCTTTAAGATTTTTATTTATTTTTAGCCCAAAGAGCGTTAGTTCAGAAGAGTTGTTAATTTCGTATTGGCATTTTGATTTGAAAACTTTAAATGTCCATTTCACTTTTCAAATTCTTGCCACCAAGTATTATCGCTTTGTGTTATATTTAAAGAAACTAAATAATGAAGAATTGGCATAAATGTATGTATGTTTCTGGCTTTGTGATAAAGCAACGGTACCTACAGCCATAAAATTTTGAATAACGTAATCCTCCACCGAATATGGACATCTGGAGGCCCTAATTTGGAATTTGTTTTATCTATTTCAGATTTTGTAACACTTTAACGAATTTTTTATTAACAAACACAATTTCAAATCGAGCAAGGCCAACACTGTACGGGAGGGGGAAAACAAAAATTTATCTCCAGTGCATGAGAATATGTATTCGAAATTCTAAAGATATGCTCATTTTAAAATTATTTTGTTACATTGCTGTTGAATTGAATTTTATTGTTTAAGTGCAAAGAACATGATATTTAATAAATAAAGGTAACACACAAAATGTTAAAAAAAAACCTTTGGGCGCAATGTAAAATCTGAAAACCTTCAATTTTTTATTTTAATATCTTTTAATTATATGCTTATACATATATATTACTTATTATATTAGTATTTTTTAGGGAGTAATTGCTGTTAAATGCCTTAAATTTATGCATTTGATGTAAGGTTACATTGCTTAGGAATAGCAATTGTTATTCAAAAATGTTCTGTCCTTTTACAGACTAAACATTTTTTCAAATAGTGCGAGAAACTCCCTTGAATTATTATTATTTTTTTTAGTATCATAATAAATTACATTTTATCTCTATTACTTCTTAAGTATGTAAAATATATTTACAATCTTTCTGATGAGTATAATTTCTTTAAAATTAAGAAATTAATTGTGTCATCTTTTAATAAAATCATTTCTTTTGCATAATTTTTTTTTACAATAATTTGTAGAAGTGCATAGCAAATACATAACAGAAAAGTATCTGTAATGACCTTACGGATTAATAAGGCACCATAAGGAAAACGACACCAACATTTATTAAAAAATTAACTTTCAAAGAATAATAGGAAAAAAAATTAACATTTAAAGAATAAAGGCAAACTCGGAGCACTACCTCGCTCCTACAACGTAATTAACCTACAACCTCTCTCCTCTGAGGCTAACATGCAACTCTTGTCTCTCTCACTTGCTGGGCTCTGCCAGGCAGCTGATTGGCTCACCGCTGCCAGATACATGACACCCCCCCGGTAAGATTGTGCTACGCCAAAGCGAAGCAGAATCTGAAAACTGAACCAGCAAATACAAACTTAAATTGTATACTCCACATACCAAATTAATTCAAAATATATGAACATGTATACATGATGTAATAACATACTTTGAAATAAATGCAATAAACATTCATCTCACAACAGATGAACAGATGGCTTGATACAATACCGGAGTTCTGTAATAAAACATATATGCAATACTATTTCAAAACACACTATTATAATGCAATATTA